ACACCATGACAAGAGCCTAAGCATGGGCGTGTAGGGTAGTGCTGTGGTTTATTTAGCACCAGGTGGGGAGGACTGCAACACCACAAGTTTCTCTGCTGTCACAAGAGGAGGCAAAGCAATCTACAGAGAGCCGATAAAAGTCACTGCAGCCATTATGTTTGTGCTAAGCTGAAAGGAAACCAAGCCCAGTTCGCAAAGAGTTCAGTTATGCTTCAGTACTTCTAAGGTATAGTTTTAATTCCTCTCGTGAATCTAAAATCTGGCCTTTCGCAACACAAGGAGAAGAAATCCTCAGTAGGTGCTTGTTTTAGAGCACATATACTTTATTAGGAATTGTATGTGAGACCTTAGAGGTGTATGTGTTTAGATCAGTGTGCAATATGTCTATTTATATGTGTGTTTATTTCATCAGAGCTCAACGCTCCAGTACAAAGTGAAAAGTGCTGTTCGTGTTAGTTGGAGCCCACGTTGCCCTGCTGCAGATGCACGCTGCCGAGTTTATTATTAAACCAGAATGCGTCAAAGGTAAAGGGAGCACAGCCTGAAACCACACTCCTCTAGCCCTGCTGCATGCAAGCTTGTACCAAGAAAACCAAATAGCGCAAAGGTGCATGATTTAGTCACCCACTTCTTTGCTAACGCCAGTCACTCAGTGGTAGTCAACCACAGGAATGCCTAACATAATCTGGCACCTACTTTCAACTTTAAGGTGTTGTGCAAAAGTCTTAAGCCATCCCATATTACTTCATTTTTTTGCAAGGAAAACAGGAAATGGGTGTTTACTGAAACATGTGCAAACCTGCATGGAAATACAGTATATAAGGCAAAAACAGAGTTTTGAATAACTACCAAGTCTATTTTTCATATGACATATTTATTCTTCAGGGCAGTTTGAACTCTAGTATGCAGGTTTTGTGTAGTCTTCGGGAATAGTTCTCTGGGCTTCTTGGAAGATATCCAAAGCTGTACTTTGGATTTTGGTCTTTTGTTCTGTTCTCTGTCCAGATGTTCCCAGACTGCTTCAGTGATGAGGTCCGGGATCTATAGAGCCCAGTGCATTACTATTCCACTGTGTTCTGATACTGCTCTGACAACGTGTTTGGGTCTTGGAGACAAATGAAGTCAATCAAACACTTTCCCCGTGCAACATGGCTAAAGTCCAGTAAATCTATGAGTTCTATCAATTTTGACAAGCTCTCCAACACCACTCACTGAAATGCAGACCCAAACCATGACAGAGCCTCCACCGTGTGTTACAGATAAACTCTCCTGACCTGAATTTCAAATTTGGATTTAACACTCCATCAGACCCAACAATTCTCAGTCCACTTCTTGTGTAATTAGGCATACCTCAGCCTTTTCTCCCCGTTTCCTTTCAATAAGCTACCTGCCAGACACCCTTCCACTGAATTTCTAACGAGGCTTTAGCGAGCAGTATGTGAATCAGCTGAAGAGCCTTCAAAAAGCCCAGAGAACTGTTGTGACAAAGGCTTTTATTTTCCAGTTAATGTTTGCACTGTTGAAATATCAGTTTAGCAATTTAAAAGCAACCTCCTGACAAAGAGCCACCATCTTTCCAGAGTGTGTTTCTAACATTCACCACAACCTTGAGTCAGTTTCTCTGTTCAGAAGTGCTCAGCCGCTCTGAGTCCGAGGTTTCCCTCAAAATCCAAACAGTATGAGTCACTTTAAAGAGGAACCAGCTACTTTACACACTTCCATCACACTGAAAGTGAGAACATACAAAAAACCAAATCAGATTATCAAACTGATACGAAAACTGCACTGAGAATTCCCCTCCCTCTTAGCGTTAAAGAAAATAAAGTCTCAAAGTAAAGCGATCCATCGTATTAGTAACGCAGCGGTGGATAATTTTTCATGTAGTCTGATAGCAGGAGTGGCATTAAGGTGGCTGGTAGTATATGATGAGCATAAATGACAAAAATAAAGCAGAGAAGTCTCAATGATATTTCCCTACAGACAGCCACCGAATACTACTGTTCAAGCTGATGTATATTCATTACACTATGGTCACGGCTGTGGTTACTGATTTCTTTATCTAATGCGGCAATATGTAACTCAAGGGACATCTGTCTTACACGACGCAACGTTTGGCGCCACAGAAGACCTTAAATTTACTTTAAATGTGATCATAATGTCGTTTAAATGCAACATTCAGAATACAAGTTCAGACTTACCTTGTCGCAGTGCCCAACTGCTTCAGGATGCTCAGAGACTGCCGGAGCATGCTGGCAGCAGAGTCCAACCAGCCTTTCTACCTGACCTACCCACTCTTGATCGACTCAGCAAGGTATCCTGTTAATTAAAAAAGAAAAAAAGTGGAGGAAAAGTCCACACAGGCTCCAGGCTGCGTTACTGCATCAGGAAGAGAAAGCACAGACCGGTGGCTCTGCCTCTGCTTTGTCTGGTTTTTGTGTGTTTATGCATGCGTGTTTTGGCCTTCAGTTTTCGTTCTCGTTTCAGGAGCACGCTCTCAAGTCACGTCGAGCACAAGTCAGCGAATGAGGAAGTTGCACAGATGATATGCAGGCTGTGAGAGGGAAGAGAGATTTTTTTTTTTGTTGTTGCATTGTCACACTATGATTTGACAGTCTAAAATGACGCATGATGTGACAGAGAAGAATGAGTGGGACTGTGTAGGTATCATTTGACTTTTAACTACATGAAAGGTTGATCCGCCTTTGCAGACGGATATCTCATGAGGAATAATTTGCGCAGCGCTGCGTTTGTTTGTTGCATCTTGTAATTAGAATGATGCTCACCCACTTAAAATATCCTTCAGGCACGGCTGTGGTTAATGTGTAGTTCTGTAAACTAAGGTAAAAAGGATGTGAAATGGCTGAAAGAGGAAACTGAGCTGCTGTTTGTAACATTTTTTTCCTGTCAGCTTAAAAGTTATTTCCATTTTAACGAGTCCACTCTATTCCTCTTTAAAAATCTGGGCATTTTAATTTTTGCTTCAGGTAGTCTGCTTCCTTTTCGGTTAACATTTTTAGATCTTTTGGATTTTTTTTGGTTGTTGTTTTGTAAACACAGCACTGACTTTCTGCAGTCTCTTTAAGTTTAGCGTCAAATAAGCGTAACTCGCCTTTAATCGTGTCTGAAGTTACTTTACTCGTTCTTTTAGCTCCGTTTCTGGATTCGAGAACCATTCTTATAATTTGGGATTTATTGTTCTTAAATTTATGGTGATTGCAAATCATGTCTCCATTCATGGCACACAGATGTTTTTATTCTTCTTGTTTCACTTTGACTTTAGATTTAGGCAAGCAGTCACAGAGGGCTCTCCCCTTCCTGTTTGGGCTCAGACACTCTTAGTACGAAATCTGTTACCAAAAACAAAAACTACAGTAAGGACATGTTAATCCCATGAATTAACTAGAAATGAATAATGATGCCTTAAAAAAAATGAAACATTACTGTACTTGTTAAAGTTTTACATTAAAGTTTGTAGAGTGTTTGTAGATCAACATTGCGATTTTAACAAAATGCCCTTCATAACTCAACTAGGAGGCACATGAAATCAGCTTATCACAGCCATTATGTTTTTCTGATGTTATTTTGTGATATTATTCTGTTACTTGTGTAGTGTTTTGCAAACAGTAGATAAATGATCTTTATTTTCACTGCTCATTCGCTGAGGGTTAAAAACTGCACGTGTAGGATTTGCAGTGAAATGCAATACGCTTAAAAATATTGCTGTATTTGCTCCAAAATACCTTCCAGGAGGGAGCTATGACAGTTCTCCCTTTGGATCACGGTGAAATGGCACCTGAGCTTCATTTCCAGATTTTATTCTTCTTTTTTCTTTCAGCATTGACACTAAATCGATCAGAGGGTGCAAGTGAGATTGAACCAGCCCTCAACTGCCACATGCTACAGCCTGGTGGCAGCATTGTCAAAATGCACATGACAAACTGAGTCTTTATTTTTAGCAGTTTCCTGACCATTTCTTTTGGCTTCGAGTCAAATTACATTTCTGCAACACTGTGGGTTTCATACAACACTGTGCAAACATTTTGAGCAACCCCTCACCCCACCCCAGACTTTTTTGGTTTTTTGGTCATGCTTTAAGGCAACCTTGAGTAACTCAGCTCAAAGAATAAACTAGTGTTGTGTCTGCATATGAAGTATGATATTTAAGTTGTATCTTTAGGTATTTTGTTACTAACAACCTATCAAGAAAAAAAATTAAAGAAACATTTTTTTCCAATTCTTTAGCTGAAGCCATGAAAAATACCAAAGATAACACAGTTTAACAGGTATAATACAGTAAAATATAACTCAGAAGTATAGTCAGTGTCCTGAACCATCTGAAAAACATGGATGCTCTGTTGTGGTTCGGGGTTGCATTTAAGCTGATTTTGAGGATCCTGTCAAAATTGATGGAATTCTTGATGCAAAAAAAGCACCATTTGATGTAATACCATACAGAAAGTGTCTGATTGGTAACAGCTTCATTTTTCAGTATGACAATGATCCCAAACACAGACAATGGAGCACTTTAAGTCATGGATTGGTCACCCCAGAGTCCAGACCTCAACATTATTGATGTAGTGTGGGATCATCTTGACAAACAGCAGAACAAAGACCTTTGAATGTCCTTCAAGAAACCTGGAGAACTATTCCTGAAGACTACTTAAAGAAATGACAAGAAAGGTGCCTGAGAGTTCAGGATGTGTTGAAGAATAAAGGCACTCATCCCAAATACTGATTTTCAAGCTCATTAGAATCGCATAAACTGTTTTTGCCTCATTTACTGCATTTATTTTTGCATATTATATTTAATCACTGCACCCATTTACCTATTATCATATATACGTTTTGAATTAGGAGTGGCTTGAGACGTTTGTACAGAACTGGACATAGTTTGGCATCTGGCACAAGTGCGCCATTACTTTCAGGCCCATCCAAATTAATCCGTTTATCAGAACAACATGTTTTACCGTGTTAGGTGAGCAGATGAAACAGTCCAATGCTTGCAGTTTAAATTAGATGCAGCAACGCAGCTGATCAGTTTATTGTTTCAAATCACTTCAAATACATGAGGGAAAACACCTCTTACACCTCATGGTTTCAACATTTTGTCCAGTGAACATCGTGGAAAACACCATAATTTTGTTCAAGATCATTTCCAACGCACCACATAATGACCAATTTATTATGTTCACCTGTTCAGTCTAGACAATTCAGCTGCCCTGCAGAAAATCCTCTTTGTGAAGTTAATAACATTCGGGGGTTTTTTGCTCCGTGAGAGGAGCCGGGCCATCATCTGGAAGCTGTTTTTAGAGGTGCTTATGTATATAAGTGCATTACTGCTGAGTGGTAATGTACCTAAGAAAGTATGTGTATGTTAACTGTAGCACTTTACTTACAGAAAAAACAGTGAGCTGGTGTCATGTAAACTTTAACAAGGCGACAAAAGACACTCTGCTACAGAAATACAGAAGCTGTCACTAGAAACAGCGTAAGGCCAAAAATACTGAGGATGTTTCAGATTAAACTTTTAAATACAGATACATCACCTCCCTCCCAAAAAAAAAAAATTAAAATAAAAAAAAAAAAATTAAAAAATTATTTTAAAGGAATTTCATGGGCTGTTCCTGGTGGTCTAAGGCCAAGAAACATGAACAGTAAGTTGACTGAAGGTAAGAAAGTACTGAAAACAATCACGGGACATAAGACAAACCAAATAACAATATGTCTCGCTGTGGTGGAGACAACAGCCAATTATTTCCACTCTGTAAATTTCCAATTAAAAATCTGTTTTCATATCAATGGCAAACGGAAAAGAAAAAAAAAAGAAAAAGGGGACAGCAGTTTCTGGAAATTTTGACTTTACTCTAATGGAGTGAGAAGAATGAGGAAACGTTTATGCAAAATATCAACTCAACTGATTTCTGATAACTGAGCTGCAGCATACCATTTTAAACCTAGAACAAAGTAGTAAAATCCAGAGTGTACTTCCTATATCAGTTCATGTGTTTAATAATGTTCTTTCCTTCTCCTGTCGCTGATTTGAGTTCTTACAAAACAGTTAAAACTGGAGAAAAAGTAAAGCACCAAAGAAATCCTCATGCAATTTTACATGACAGTAAACTTCTATTAGGTAATCTTGTTTTAAAAAAAAAATAATGCACAAATCAAAAGGAATGCAAATAACTTCAGCAGCTTTTGAATTAAAAACCTGGTAGGTGTGGAGCAATGAAGAGGCTGTGAAGCACTTGGAAAACCTGCGATTGTCTCCTCTGGAACCTTGAAGGAGTTTTAAAGAAACCTGGAGGCATTCCAAATGTTCCATTTCTCTTCATCTTGTTTTGTTCCACCTGTTTTCTCTTGCCGTGGAAGCCCCACGAACTTTGATTTAAAATGAGGTACAGGAGTTTAAGAGCAGTCCTGATCTGACACTACCCATAATAGTCCCCTCCCCGTTCTCCTCTGCTTCTCCCTCCATCCCTCTGAGAGTGAAGTACATGGCGAAGCTTTCAGGTGGAGGACTAGCGCTTTGCTTTGGCTTCTTCCGCTTCTTTCTCTGATGAAAAATGACAAAAAAAAGAAAACAGTGCAAAGCTTTGAATTTCAAAGTGCTAAACATTTCCATAAAACCCATCCAAACAATCGGAGTCATAAAGTCTCCTGTTGGTTATTGTAATTATGAGAACGGCACACTAAAGCAGCAAGCCTTGCAAACATCTGACATCCTGGCGCTTTCTTAGAAGTTCCTGCCCTGCCTCATTTCAGAAAAATGCATTTGTATTCTCTGGCAGTACAACACTTTGTCTACACAGAAAGTTTTTTTTCCCCCCCTGTACAAACAAATCTCATATCCTCTTACAGCCCCAAGCCAGAGAGGGTATGTTGAATTATGTTCTGGAGCTTTTGTGTTGCAACTCAACTCACTGAGGATGCAAAGTGCTCCATTACTCACAATATAAAAGCCACAGAAACAAGCATGATGCAGTCACTCTGCTCCAGACAGATAGATTGTTATCTACAAACTTTTAGAGATGTTACAGAGATGTAGTTTGAAATAAATCTTGGATAAATCTGTGGTTCTGTGCACTCATGCACATTTTCAGAAACGACATATTTTTTTAAAGCAGCTATTTAAATGAGCAGCAAGGTGTATACTTTCTCCACACTGCACAATTTTCACTATTCTCACCTTTCCTGAGTTCGTCTCGCTTCTTGGCAGCCTCCTCCCTCTGTTTCTTGATGATAGCCAGTCTGGCGAGATCAGCCCTGGCCTGCTCAGTCTTACCCTCAAGATGAAGTTTCATGTAGCGCTCTTTTGATTTCTGCTTTTCTATCTCTTCCCTGAAAAAGATACATTAAGATAGTAATATTTAGTCCCCTTGAAAAGGTATGAAACACAAACCAAAACATCTTTTGTTTGACACCCACCTCTCCCTGCGAGAAAGCTCTCTGGGAGCGCTGACGTCTACTTCAGCTACCTTTTTGCTCTTCTGAGCGACACGATTGGGATTCTCAATCTCAATAAGCCCCTCCACTCCACTCCTCTTTCTAACCTACATAAAGAAAGAAAAACCTTTGTAACACCAATCACTATGACAGGGCTTGCATCAAATTCTCTACACAAACTACCTTTAAGAACCGTGTACTGCTGTAGTTGTAATGAATCATTTGGGTGTAGTTGTTTTCCTATAAAGACATTTCTTCATCCATCATGTTATTTATGGTGTGGTGCCAAATGTATACAACATATCTGTGTGTGACTGTTGGTTTTAGATGTGTCCTCGAACCAACACAGCTGATTTAAATGGCTAAATTAGCTCCTCCACATGTGAAGTTCTCCAGAGACCTGGTAACGAACTAATCATGTGATTCAGGTGTGTTGACCCAAGGTGAGATCTAAACCCTGCAGGGACACCGGCCCTCGTGGACTGAGTTTGGCCACCCCTGGTCTAAACGGTGCTTTTGACAGTAAGCATTCAGTGAAAAACAAAAAAGATGCATTTTCAGGTTCTCACACAAACACACACATATATTCACCCATTGACAAATTAATAACACATTCACCTCAGACTCGTCGTCGCTGCTGCTTTCCTCCTCAGACTCTGAAGAGCCCTCTTTCTCTACACCACCATTTTCTTCCTGTTAAAATACACATACAGTCATACTTAATGTCTTTTAGGGTAATCAAATATTTGTTATAAAAAAAACAAAAAAAACAAAAAACACACAAACAAAAAAAACCCCAACAAGTTTCACTCACCATCTCTCGCTGGGCTCTCATCTGACGATCAATCTCTTCAGGGTTGCTGAACTGCTTCCCGCGGCCCTTGTGGCCCTTTTTCCCTGCAAGACAATTTTTAAGCTGTCAGCAGCAAAAAAGACCATCTATTAGCAATAGGGCTGCACGATTAATTGTTAGAAAATCGCGATCTCGATTCATACTTATGTGCAATCTCATTTCCAAATGACAACGATTTAAAAAAATAAAAAAAAATACGACGACGACGACTATTGTACTGCATTTTGATGCGGGACGTAATCTGCATGAAAACAAGCGCTCTCTCTTCCTGCTCAACAAATGACAAGGGCGGAGCCTTATACCACGTGATACAGAAGCTGTGCCGTGTGATGCTAAAATTAGCAGGGAAAAAACAACGGAGAGAAAGTGACAGGAGAAAATCCGTCCCGGTCAACCACCCAAACATCAATAACGGGAACCTTATACAGCACTTCCCTATACCCGTCGAACTTCCGCAGGCACAAAGACATTATGGAGGCTATTACTTATCACCTGACCAAAGATATGGCTCCCATCAACACTGTGCAAAACGAGGGATTTAGGAAAATGATCAACACCCTAGGCCTAGACAAACGCTACACAGTGCGTTTCTATTGTTGCACTACCTGCTCTATACACGCAGTGTCGAGCAAAGGTGGAGACGGAATTTCAAGCAGTACAACATTTTGCGGCAACAACAAAACGTGAGACATTTGTTGTTTTTATGTTTATTTATCGTTTTTATGTTCAGTTTCAATTGTTACGAAGTTGATGTGCAGTTAATAAGTGCAATAAATATTTATAGCCTATTGGAAAAGAAAAATCGTGAGAGAATCGTGATCTCAATTCTAAGCCAAAAAAAAATAAAAAAATCGTGATTCTCATTTTATGCAAAATCGTGCAGCCCTAATTAGCAACATAAAACATTAAACAAGTCGTTTGAATAAGCGACAAAAGCGTGCTCCCACTGAAAATGCTGCATCCAGAGGAACAGAATTACCATTCTGAGAATACAATCAGCTATTTGGGGCGGGGGTGATAACTTATAAGCAACCTGCAAAGTTAATCACTGGGTAGACACAACTATGAAAAAAATACTGGTGCTCTCTCACCATGTAGCCCTATATTTGAGAACAAGTGCCCAGAGCCATCTTTGGCTGATGACACAATTCACAACGTGACTTCAGAAATCCACACAGCCTGCTGCGTGAAGAGAAGATACCGTGAGCGCCGATGAGTCACACTGACGTTTATAGAGGGCCAGCTCCCCTCACCGGAAAATCTAACAGCCGACGACTTAGAAGGACGTACCGACAAAGACAAAGAAAAAAAACCCCGAATAGTTTGACCATATATTTGTGATATAAACTGGTACAAAGACAACCTCCAAATAGAAATTTCAATAACTGATTATGTATGTAAACTGACCCGGATGCTTTCTTCTCTGCGCACGGTATTAGCGGTTAAAAGCAAGCAACCAAAAAACAAAACAAAAAAAGACTATTGAGGTTTAAGTTAACACCAAGTCGTCATCTGAGCTCACGTGAGAACAAATAAATAATTGGATATCGGTACGTCTCTGGTGCCTTTAATAAACCGTTCTTACCGGCAAATTACATTATGCTAACTATGTAGCATGCTAAACATGCTAAGCATGTGTGAATTCAAAGGGCTAATGATCCGCTAGCTAAAATGTACTCGCAAAAACAGGCACATTATGTGAATTTTCGTTTTAATACTTACCACCACGAGGCATTGTTATAGGTGAGTTCTATAAAAGTCCACCACAACGTCAAAGAATAATACAACAGTTCACTCGAAACGCCGGTGATTTAAAGTGCTAGATGAAAAGACTAAAAAGTACTTCGTCTCTCCCGCTATTGGCAGACGCCTCTTTCGCTCGCGGAGACGTACGCATGCGCACTTGGGACTATAAGCTGCACTGCGCATTTGATTGAAAGGTGCATTGACCAATTGGATAAAGAGACTTAAATCATTCATAAAAGTGGCATGTAACGCTTATCTGTTTAATAATATAATAATGCATAAATAAATAAAATCATAATCGTATATTTGATTATTTGAATTTTATACAGTGCTCAATAAACACCTATGACTGACTGAACAACATAACATAATTCACGCATAAATCAGGCTTTATTGGTCGGTTGGGAAGGAGATGCTGACATTCAAGATACAGATCCAGCCTCAGAGTTTGTGCAGGTTTATGCACTATTAAAACTAATAAAAGAATTAAATCTAACACCTCCGGTTTCCCTTTTCCTTTCACGGGTTTGAGCCTGTTTCAAAAGCATGTTTTTATTCTGTTTGTTAAAATAAAATAAAAAACAATGTACAAAAAATGAAGCTCTGTATGCTATGTATTAAAAATACTTATAAATAATTCTGACCACCCAAAAGTTGCTCAGTAAGTATATGGAAGGCATACTGTATATGAGGGTTTTGCTCTATTTGGAAGTGGAGCTGAATGAAAAGCTGTAATAGTGAATGAAGCCTTACTTTTCTTATTTTATTCTTTCTATTGTGTTACCGTATATTTTTAGAGCTGCTATGAATCCAACAATTCACAAATGTTATTTTCTAAAAACCGAAAGTCAAACAAAAAGAAATGCCTTTTGTCAATGGAGTTTACTTTTAATCCAAAGAGAAAATAGAAAAAAATTATATTAAAAAGCAGGTTTTACATCACATACAAATGTACAAAGTGTAGAAAATTGGCTGTGTATTGAACAAAGAAGGTTTTTAAGGTGAAATAATTCAACAAATTAAAAACAGAAAACATACAGTAAGCGGAAAATAAAGAGTAAAATGTAACACACAAGAATCCTCATTTTGAGGAAAATGGATGATATTATTACTTTTGTCCTGTTATCTATCGATACAAAAATATTTACTTGGAAGAAAACGCTTTATTCAATGGAGGCACTAGATCAGATCTGTCATTTTTTTCTTCGATGTTGAGTCTTGACTTCTTCCACTTCTTTCTCCATCAGGTGATACTCTACGGTAGTCTCTGTTAACTTGAAGGAAAAGATTAAAGATCACTATTTTACTCCTTCTGCGACAAACCGGGTTATCATCATCATTATCATCATCACCTTTATTTATAAAGCACTTTAAAAAAACCACAGCTGAAACAAAGTGCTCTACATAGGAACTATATAATAAAAGTTCATAAGATATAAATAAAAGCCAAATAAAAGAAAAAGTAAGCGTTATATAATTGAATGAACTGGTAATTACATTTATAACTTAAATATAATATGCAGCCTGTAAAAAAAGAAGTATTATGCAGTTATAACAGCTTTACAGAGGAGGCAAAAAAAACCCTTTCCTACCTCAGAGCCTAATATTGCATCCATAATATTACTCACAATGTAATGACAATTGATCTTACCATATCCAGGAGAAGTTCAATCTTTAGTTTTAATACGTTATTCTCTTCCTCCAGCTGGATATTTTTTTTCTTAAGCCGCTGAACTTCCCTACTAGACACATTTCCACCAGATTCTGGTTTCACAAAGGAGAAAAAAAACGTTTATGCTGTGTTGGCCACAAGGAACCAGATAATAACACACACAGACACACATAGAGAGAGAGAACTAAAAGGTAATTATTCAGAAAACCCATTACCTGTAATCCACTGTCCCTCTTCAAATTTCAAGACCTGACCTCCAATGTTCATCACAGGAGGGCCATACTCAAGGCCCAGCTCTATTTCTCGAGTTGAACGATCCAACTAAAAAAAAAGATAAAAAGGTATAAACAACGGTTAATGCTATCTCTCAGGGTGTTATGCAGATTAACCCCCCCCCCCCCCGAACGTGCTGTACAACTAGTGTTTCCAGTGTGTGAATGATGCTAAAATTCATTAGCTCACCGTGTGGAGGCTGGACAAGGAGGCGGATTTACGTGGAGGAACCTTTTTAGGACTAAATGGGTTTCCAAACAGAGGCATCCTCAGAGATTTTTTAAGGTCCTAGATCAGAGACAGCACCCGAAAGAGAATTACTATTTTTAAGATAACGCTAGCTTCACCTAGCTTCTCACTGTGTTTACCGTCGTTAGCGGTGCACGACCAAATTAATGCTAGGTGGCTAGCTGCGTGAATTACTTATATCTCACAATTTAATGAAATTATCCCCTGCCTCTCAGAGTATTTAGGTAATGCTGTTTCAATTTAAATATACAGCTAACATATTTACCTCCATACAGGGTATTTATTTAAGTTCGCCTGAATCCGTTTCTCGCAGAACATGCTTGCCACTGCGCAAGTGCGAATTTTCCATTTGTCCAAAGTGGGCAATCCTGAAACATTCCACGACTTTCGCACAAACTATTCGGGAAAAAATGTCCACCATAATACCCTTAAAGAAACTAAAATTTAATCCATCGTCTTACATTTTTTTTTTTTTGGGGGGGGGGGGGGTATCGTGTTCACATTTTAATACCTACTAGTTAGAATTTCATAAGATCTTCCTGTTTCTGAATGATAATGGAACAACCCATGTAACGGAACGTCACCATGGTGATCTTTTACCGTCTTTGGGGTACGACGCTTTAATATTTTATTCGGATGAGCTCATATAATTAAAAAAAATAACTCCATACATTAAATTGACTATTATGAACAGCACAATGCAGATAATGATAATGTACAAAAAGTAAAGATAATACGAACACTATTTCAGTAGGTTACGGCTGTACTTAAAATACACTGGCCCCGCCTTACTTTGTACACGGCCCCAGTGGCCTAATGGATAAGGCACTGGCCTCCTAAGCCAGGGATTGTGGGTTCGAGTCCCATCTGGGGTGTTCTACTTTTCGCTATCGTAACAAGCACCTTAGACACAGTTTAAGTGCTTCGTTGTCTGTAGAAGAAAATCTTCACATATAAATCCTAATACGTTTGAAGAATATGTGTGTCTAACTAGGCGAGAGGCAGGCAGAACACAGACCTCCACGGCTAACATGGAAAAACGCAGAATGGCACTCTGCGTACTGCTGAGCACTTTAGCTGTATCCACAAAATCCACGGATGTATTCAGAAGAGTGAACGTCAAGCTCCAAACTTACCGTGAGTAACCTTACTGTGGCGTGTCTGTACACGGCGGGAACCAATTTTATATCCCTATAACTCTAGCTGAACGCTAAACACAAAATAAATATATTTACCGCTATAAAAGAAGGCGTATGGTTATATCTTACATAGCTTTTCTTTAATGGACAGTTACTTTGTTCTCTCCCGGCTAAATTTAACAGTTTTAAAATGTAACACTATTTGAACATGTAACTCGAAATACCATAGCCATTTAAATGCATTTAAACACGTTTTCTTTTTTAAAATGTTTTTGTAACACTTATGTTGACAAATGTAAGTTGAAAAAAATGCTTGTATATTCAAGCAAGGACACGAACACAACATTGTGTTAGTGTTCTTATAATATTAATATGCAATTAATATTAATATGACAGAAAATAGCAACACATGAGAAAGCTGTTGTAATTATTCTATCGGTGTCATAACATTATCTTACATAATGTGTGTTATCTAACCTCAAGCATGTAACCCATCCTTCTACAATGGTAGAGCTCCAAGAGGCCACTGTGCACTGGGATGCTGCCCAGAAAAGTGTGATCCTGAAGGAGGGGTTGATGGAGACGGAGGGGGAAGCCTATGGGTACTTCAATGACACTCTGCTCCTCTCAGGATGGGGCATCCTGGAGATCAATGCAGGCTATGGAGGAATCACTCAGGAAGATGAGACCACTTTCTTCTTGGCTGGCTACCTGGAAGGTTACCTCACTGCTGGGTGAGCAGCACAGGCTAAGTGCAAGCATGAAAATACACTAAGCACCATAAATGCAATTTTCAAGTGAGCCAATCATGTGGCAGCAATGCAGTCCGACACCTAATGCAGATACAGGTCAACTTCAGTTAATATATCGTTACACTTTGATTACATTTCTTATTAGGTGTAGCTGCTAGCTCTGGTTGTAACATGTGGACTGCTTTTATGTGGGCTAATCCCTCACTGCTTATTCTCCTTCCATTGCAGACAGATGTTCAGTCATTACTCCAACATGTACCCTCAGCTGATCAAGGATGAAAAGGTTCTGGAGCCCTTGAAAAACTTTTTGAGGTACAGTGTTAAATTATATCAAATCAAAGCCATGGATTAAGCTAAGAGTAATCCCATGTCTAATACTAGATTTATAAGCGTTTCTCTTTGTTTTCCATTGCCTTCAAGATGCTTTTTCAGAGGCTTGATTAACCAGTATTGTGCACAGAGTGTATATAAAAGATGGGTGTAGCCCTTCTCTGCTTTTAATAGCCTGCAGGAGGTGACTCTCCTGTTGGCACAAAGACTGTGTAGAAGTCTAGGGAAATTATCTTAATGCTCACTTAATCTGTGACCTCAGGAAACACTAAGTTTATGGGCTCAGTCTTAAGTCTTACTTGATAAATTCTGGTGATGTGGTTGTTGTTATGAAAGTCAAATACTTTCTCATTCACAGCTGTGTAAATATAAAGCATGCAGTGGTATGCGTCAGTTCTCTGTCATATTCACACCTTAACCGCCACACCTGGGTTCAAGACAGCAAAGCTTAGCTGAAAACTTTACAAGACTCTTTTAGGCAGCGGACGTCTACATCCATCTTTTATATACATTCTATGATAGTGCCTCATAACTGTCAACTGTCTATACAGAATTTACAAATTATATTTATGCACCTATTGATTGTTAGAGTGATGTAAAACTGCACCATCAAGAGATAAACGTTGATTCTAAAATTTGAATAAACCCCAGCAAACAAGACCAGTGGGCCAGAGAGCAGGTGAAGCTCAGGAGAAACAGTGACCCCTTGTGGAGGCATATGGGACTGATCCTGGCTCAGCTGGATGGACTCCACGCAGGAGCTGCACTGTGGGCCAAAAGCAAACACAGGGAGGTGTGTATGTGTGTGTTTGTGGTTGTGAGAGAGTTGTCACAGTCATTTCATGGATCTCTTGCCACTTGCTCTTTCCCTCCTGCGCAGCCTCTATCAGCGTTCACGGTCCAGTTTCTAAATGGTGTCGGTGACCTCTTGGATCTTGTCCCAGCTTTGACACCTCGCTCCAACTCCTCCGCAGGGTCCGGCGCTTTCAGGATGCCTGGAATGGGCCACTGCACAGCTCTCATAAAGGTTAGGCCAAGCTCATTTGGCTCATGTGAGGGAGCCCTTGGGAAAACCTCAACACAAACCTAACTGCTTTTATTGGCCTCTGTGAGCAGGATTTTCTTCTTTTAGATGAGTGTAAAAGGCCATTGCAAGGGGCTTATTTCCTCTTTCACGTACAACAATCTATGGAACAAAGTTGAAATGGATGTGTGCTCCTGGATTTTTTAAGACCCCTTTAATGTATCTTAATAAAGTTGCATCCACGTTAAACTCTTTCTTTTATGATTCACTGATTGTGTCTTGTTTCTTTTAAAAATATAGATGTTTCTCTCTCTCTCTCTTCTCTGTATCTCAGGTTCTTCCAGGCTTTGAGAACCTGCTAGTTGGCCACTCTAGCTGGTATACTTATGCAGCCACCATGCGTATCTATAAACACTGGGACTTCAAGGTGTCTGACACACACGTAGCCACTGGAAAGATGTCGTTCAGCAGCTACCCTGGTACACACACTCCTACTATATCACATACAGTATAAGAGCCGCACAACCGCACACTTATATGCATAAATATACTCAAATAATCAATGTGTCTCGAGAAAAAAAGATCAATTTGCAGAAGAAGAGGGTTTTTCAAAGAACAGACCTCACTTCTTTCTTGCAAAAGCTCCGAGGGGAGGTGAACTTCTTATCCTTAATCCACAAGGGAAAATATGAACACTGACATCTAGGAATTAACCCAAATCCCCAATGAACATTTCCTACTCGACACAATTCTCCTGCAAAGCATGCAGCTTAGGCAGTAATGAGAAAACACTGAATCCCGCGTGTGTTTATGCACATGCTCGAACGGAGCTATACTCCCCTCGCTGTAGAGTTAGAGGAGACTGAGAAATTTTGTGGCCAAAGATTTGTCAAGTGGACCAGGCCATAAAAAAATCCTCTGGTGGACTACAGTCCTATCAGGACACAAGTGGTTTTAAAGCACTATATTTAGAGAGCAGCAGGCCGAGGATATCACCTCACTATATTGAAACAAAGAGATGAAATACAATGGGGTCAGCAGAGGTGATGTGTGCCCTCTGCGGCCTTCCTAAGCTGCTTCCCCTCTAACAGTACTGAGGATTTATCATGCACTGCAGGTCGGCACCATGAGAACAAGAAGAGGTGCTGGGCAGTCTCAGTGGTGGAAATATTCAAAGACATCTGGCTTCTATTGTTAATAATATTAATATTGTACTTCTAGTGCAGGAGTTGGATGTGTTTTTTCAGAGGAGCTTATTATTTTTCCTTTTCATGTATAGAATACAAAGTAGTATAGAGTAATTCTACCTGGTGTAACTCTACATAAAAGTAGTATGGCAAGATGAAACTTGAAATAATTATAATACACGCAATCGGAAAAGGAATGCTGATAACACATCTGGTACTTGCGATTCATGAGCGTGATAGTCATATCTTTAACAAAAGTTATGAAGTCACATGAAAATAAAGTTTTCACAGCATGAAAAGCACCTTTAACAGCAATAACTTGAAATAATTGTTTTCTTTATGACTTTAAAAGACTCTCACGTCGCTGTGAAGGAACTTCAATCTACTGTTCTTTACAAGGTTCTTCAGTGTATTGAGGTTTGGGGGTGTTCTCCTGAGGTACAGCCACAGCTTTCAGTCAGGATGAGGTCTGAACTTTGACTGGGTCTATGAACTTTCATTCTTTTCTTTTTTTAGCCATTCTGTTGTAGATTTGTTGTTGTGCATGGGATTGTTGACATGTTGCATGAACCCATTTGAGCCAAACTTTAGCTATCGGACAGATGTCGTCACGTTTGACTCTAGAACACTTTGGCACACAGAGGAGTTCTTGCTTGACTCGGTGACCATAAAGGTCTCAGGTCATCACCCCTCCACCGCAGTGTTGACAGTTGGTATGAGGTGTTTGTGCTGATATGCTGTGTTTGGTTTTCAGCAAATGTAGCGCTGCACACTACGGTCTTGTGGTCTTCTTGGTCCAGAGGTTTTGTGACTTATTTAGCTACAATTTTGCAGATTGAGGCATGCTCCAGTGTTCTTTTTGGAGAGAAGAGGCTCTTTCTTGGAAATCCTTCCAAAAAAAAGACTGCTTGTTCAGTCTTTTGCTAATTGCACTGTGCTTAATGTCAATATTTAACATGGTAACTGAGGCCTGTAGAGTTTGTGATGTATCACTTGGATGTTTTGCAGTTTCTTTGCACATTTGCTGTGACATCCACTACTGGGAGAAATTGTGGCATTATAGGAGCACACACAAACTCTATAAAATAATGCTTTTATTGAAGTGCTCACATTTGTTGGTGATGAGCACAGCACTAACACGTGACCACAATGGGAAACATGTTAGCATACAGTTACGTATCAAGTGGATAGAGAGTAATATTAGAATGCACATGGTGCATTAAATATGAATACTTTAATACACCACCAGTTCATCAGAGCTAAATGCTGAGGGAAATACAAAATGTAGTACTTTATGGGCTGACTGATGACCCATTTTCAGCAGCTGGTCACAAACACTGTATGGCTGTTGTTGAGTCCAGATATTATACTGTATACTGGGTTTTCAGATTTTATATGCTAAAAACAGCTTCCTGAGTGAATCAAAATAATAAAGTTGCAGACCAGAAAACTGAAAACGTCTGAGCTAAAAGATGCTAAAGACTTGCTAAAAGAAACTGGGACATCATTTTTATTGCTGTGTGCAAATCATTTCAGGAAGCATGCAGTCATTTGAGACAAGGCAAGATTACTTTATTGTCGTGATAGGAGAAAATCACCTTGGATTAAGCCACACTTTAATAAACAGACCTCAGAATAAATTAACAGATAAATGATTTTTAAAATGCATTTACAGCAAAACCTCTCTGCTTATCTGTCTGTCCCACATGAGCTGTTCATTTATCAGCTTAACTGGCAAATTAATATTTATTATTGCACAACAGGAGCCTGCATCTCCTTCCAGAGTCCATTAGCACATAATCAGAGGTCCACACATGTGAAGAAGCAACTAAAAGCTCTGTTCCCTTTTTATATGTGCTATATAAATGAAAGTAACAAGACAAGTAATCATAAAAAGCAGGATTGTTTCACTTGACTTTATATATTTTAATAACAAATTAATATTACTGTAGTACCTTAAAAAACCTTAAAATGCCTTTAAAAAATCAGAAATCACTGGTTGAGTTAAAGATACTTATTCCATTTGCTAATAAATACAAGTTAAGCATGTTGTGAGTTGCAGATGATCTAATCACGACACCGTTGGTTTGCTCCAACTTTATCAAATGACCCCCAACCCTCCCCCACTCCTTTGTTGACTGTCAAAAAGAAACCTGCTGCGTGTTCTCCTCCTCCAGGCTTCCTGATGTCTCTGGATGACTTCTACCTCCTTGGGAGCGGCCTGCTGATGACTCAGACCTCCATCGGCGTCTTCAATGCCTCTCTGTTCTCTCAGCTCAGCCCTCACAGCCTGCTGGCCTGGCAGAGGGTCCGACTGGCTAACGGTCTGGCGCACAGAGGAGAGGAGTGGGCGCAGGTTTTCTCCAGATACAACTCAGGTGAGATTTCAGTGATGTCAATTAAGGCAAGTTGAGTTTTGAGGCTTTATTCAAAACCAAAGTAAGCCAAAGTAAGTAAGTAAATAATATGGAGCCACTAATTCACACTAATGCATGCTGTTATTGCCCTGCCTTCTGGCTTTTAGACGTAATGCTGGCAATGCAAAAATTCACAGGACACATGTCCATAGAGATTTAGCAGTCTCTCAAACACATCGTTCTTCTCAATTACACAGTGCTTGTGTGTGTTAATTGGGAAGGATGCTTTGATCTTTCACATCACGTTGCTATGGAGGGCAGAGGAGAAAACAGGACAGGGTGTTCTTGAGACTGACAGCTCTTTAACAAACAGCAGAATTGGCGCTCAGATTCACCATCCTGCCAAGCTATTGCAGTGACCTGCAGACCGTGATGTCATTTCATTCAGATCGGGTTATGTTTTCGGTTTTTATGGCATGTGCAAATATGTATCTAAGAAGCCAAAAGTTTATGTGCTTCCCTCTCTAGATCCAAATCCCTCAGGTGCATGCGAGACTGTACATGTAAGCTTTCATTTTACAGTAGGATAGCTAACATGCAGCAACATGAGCTAGACTGATTACATTACTTCAGTATTGGTCTTTTAGTGAGTAAAGGTAAATAAAGTTGTACCACATCTCACAAAATCCCTCCAATATTTGTTGACACACAAAATCCAAGTGTCCATGGGACAGGAAGGAGTGGATCTGTATTCCCTTTGTATTTCAGGCACATATAACAGCCAGTACATGGTGGTGGACCTGAGCAGGATTTCTCTGAGTAAAAGCATCAGGGATGGAGCTCTGACTGTTGTAGAGCAGATTCCCGGCAAAGTCAAGCACTCCGATCAGACTCGGGCGTTACGCAGAGGTAAGAAACCACCTGTATCTGTGTGATTACTGCTGTTGTTGATTTCTGAGTGACCTCCCCCTCCAGTGTGCTCCATTTAACAGGTTATTGGCCGTCATACAATATACCATTTCATGCTGAAATCTACAACCTGAGTGGATACAGTGTGATGTGGAAAAGATACGGGGAAGACTTTTCCTATGATCTCTGTCCCCGAGCTAAAATCCTCCGCAGGGACCAGGCCAAGGTGTCCGACCTCAGCTCCCTCAAACGCATGATGAGATACAACAGTAGGTGAAACAACAGAGTTATTGTTCCTCGCGCTGTATGTCCGCTCTGGAGCTCAAAGCACTTCACAGAAAACACAAATAGCCCAGGATATTTTTGTTCCCGTCAAAGTGAAAGCAGCATGACTAAACGTCAGACTGCTTCTGTTTCAGACTACAAGAAAGATCCCTACTCAAAGGGCCATCCCTGCAAAACCATCTGCTGCCGCAACGACCTGAGACCAAGGAGGCCACGGCCAGGGGGCTGCTACGACACTAAGGTCAGAGGACACCAGCACATTAGGCCAGAATCAGCTCTGTTACAGTGTGAGGATAAAAACAAAATACAAAGTACAGCATGTGTTTTGCTTGTGTTTTTGTCTGCCGATATAACCTTTGGTTAAAGAGTCACCGCTGTCACATGCCCTTTAAATTCCCTGTTTTTTTTTAAAGCTGCAGTTTTTCTCTTTACTCCTTTTGTTATTTGTTTAACTATTTCTAGGTGTGTGTTGTTTTTAATAGAGCAAGATGTTGATTCTCTACGTTAGAGTAAAACAGGGAGTATATCAGGGTGTGTTTCAGGGCGTGTCTAACCTGTGATTGACAAGTTGATACCACAGAATTGAGCATTGCGCTCAAATTCTCAGTTTGATCTGCCCATCAGCTGTTCTGTATTTGTTTGTAATAAAAAACTGCAGAGTGAGCTCATCCAGTAAGAATCTTTTTTTTTTTTTTAAACCTATAATTTTTTACTTGCTAAAGCTAGCATTCATTTTTATATCACAGTGAATTACAAACCTTGCACCTTGTTAATCAGTCTGGGACAAATATGCTCACAAACAACCGAGATGCCTTGCACAAATCAGTGAGTATATCTTTTTGTTAGACTGCTGTCTGTGATCCACAGTGCTAATATGGCGACAATAAAACCGATATGTAAATCTAGTGTCCAAATATAGATGCCCCAAACAAGATATACCACCAGGTGATATTAGTCATATCACCTGGTGGTATTAGAATAAAGGCCAGGTTATCACCTCTAGCATTTGTGAATGTGTGTGCAAACACTGTTGCTAATCTGTCTGTTAGATATTTCCTAGATTAAGTGAAAAAATATATTTGCTGCTGGCAAAATATGAAAACACTCTCCAAAGTTAATAAGATTCATTCACATTAATTATGTGTAGATTTCTGTTCAGTTCAGTTTAAGTTAAATTGTGCAGTGGTTGAAGCCAGTATTTCAAATAAAGCAACAAGATTTGATTAGAAGCATTAAATTACCTTTCTTTCACATGTTCCTGTTCCCTCCTCATTTCTGTGTCACGGTATAGGTGACGGACTACCAGATGGCGCTCCAGCTGGTCGCCGAGGCAATAAATGGCCCCACGACCCAGGGGGGTCTGCGCCCATTTTCATGGCAGTCCTTTAACTTCACGATTCATCAGGGACTCCCCCACACGTACAACTTTCCCTTTATCACCATGAGGCCCATGCTGGACAAGCCATAAGAGCACAGAGCTGGAAGATGCCATGCGTCCATGTGTAGCTGTGTTCAAATTCACAAAGCCTGCGCCACAACACTGAAAATCCTGTTGGTGCAGCTAAACAGAGAGTAAAAAACTTGATTATTTTGCCAACATTGGTGTTTTTTTAAATTAATAATTTAATAATCCATTTTAAAAACAGACAACAAATGATCAAAGTGAAGTATACTGAAATAGATGCCACTAGATGCAGTGAGGTGTTTGTGATGTAGTGTTGTGTTGGTCTTATTTCACAGCATCTATCTATTAGTGACAGAGTACTCTGAACTGGCATAAGGATTGTCGGCTTGTTTGCGCTATTTTAACACTCTGTGTAAAGTTTCCACAAACGTTTGGATTTAAACCATCAGGAAAATCCTGTTCGTTTTATATTTATTATAATTACAGTATTTTTGTTTTTGAGTTCAATTCTATGCAGTATCTACTCAGGTTTGCACATTGTGGAAGAAAATTATCTAAGTTTGCATTAATATTAACTATACTAAATTAAATTATAACCTGTGGTGCATTTTGTCTATATAAACAGAAATAAAATTCGCAAAAACTACAACAACTGTTTTTGTGCAAAATATGAAAGGAAAAGATGTTATTTTCAAAATAAAATATTCACAAAAGGTTCACGTTTCTGATCTGGTTGACAAAAAAGAGAAGTTATGATAATTGCATTTGACTGCCATGTATAGTACCTATGGGAAAATGAATAAACTCAAGTAACAATTTTAAGTAACATTTGACTGCATAACAAATAGGATTTCTCAACTACTCTTACCTACTTGTCAGTTCCTAATGTGTTTTTACCACCAGACTAAGGGAAGGTTAAATTCATCACTCATTAGTGTAAGATGACAAAAGCGAAGTATAAACCTAGACAGCGTAGACAGTTTTTTTTTGTTTTGTTTTTTGCCTCGATAAAATGTAACATTTTTAAAACTTGATTAGAAAATATTATTTTCTTCTGTAGCGGCCATTACAGCTTTTACTTTGAAAGTGTCTCTGGGACATAGTGTGGTTAACTTCCTGTAACTTAACCAGCTTGCTTTGAGTGGGTACTCTGGGGGCGGAGCATGCTCGGTTGGATAGCTGAGAGAAAAAGCCGAGGCAACAGTCCGGGGTCCACCGCGCTCGTATCTGGTCTGTGTCCAACTGCTTTTTTTCCTAAATGGCAACGACGGCAGAGGACCAGCGGGAACCGGCGGACGCCGCTGCACTGTCGACACACCACGGCTGCCACCACCACAACAGCAACAACAATAACAACAACAATAATAACAACAAAGACAGCGAGGCGGGAGAGAGCGCGACCTCTGCCACCGCCAGCTCGACAGAATCCGGCGGGACGGCGTCGCAGAGCATCAGTAACGGCTCGGTTATCAACCCTAACGGGGGGAACAACGGGAAGTGGGTTCGCCTCAACGTTGGCGGCACGGTGTTCCTCACGACGCGGCAGACGCTCCTCAAGGAGCAAACTTCGTTCCTGTACCGGCTGTGCCAGCAGCAGGACCTGCATTCGGACACGGTAAGCCCCGCCAGGACGCTTTAACCCCCGCTGAACGGTGCTTCGCTCCGGGCGAAACATAACTATTATTTTGTCACAGCAGCGGGTGAGCTGGGACTGCACCTCCTCCACTTATTTTCTTTGTGATGGTTTCAACGTCCTGTGAGCATTTAAGTTTGATAGTTACTTTGTCTCAGACGCTATTATTCTGGGTACTGGCAAGTGACATTGTGCCATATATCAGATTTCTATGAAAACGAATGTGGTGACAGTACATTACAATAGACGTTGCACACCATTCGTGTTGTGGCACGCAATTGTATTTGTTAAGAACAGAGACACTGGTGCGGTTTTTGATCTCTTGATAACACTCCTGCTATCTGCAGCGGCTTGAAGTTAACAACAGCTTAGATCGTTGAGGCATCTGTTAACACACGATTGGTTCGATTTATCTTAGCAGGCTTACTGCTTTGGTCTAAAATGGCGATTATTTTCTATAAAATGCGTGTGCATCTGTTTCCATAAAGTACGGAATTGTATCCCATGATATCACTCCAACATGAGTACTGATTTCCCTAAAACTTGCATCTGTCCTCTCCCGGAAATCCACTCCTGCAGCTCCAAATAGGCATGGAGCAGCCCACTAACCAGGAGATATACGTGCAGTCTGAAGCACTTCCACTCTCCTGCTTTTCTTCATGTGAATGTTGCTTGGGTCAGATGGATGAACACGTGCCTCCTCTTCTGCAGGGAGCCACACAGTTGGTAGCTGTACAGCTGGCATCTTATGGGGAGGGTAAGAGAGAGGGAGAGTCTGGCTGTCACATGTAGACTGAAAGGACTTGAAAGACTCATGAATGATGCAGATTTCTATTATGCTGCATGGACTTTGATATGCATGAGTATGACAAAGGGTGGGGGGGGAGGTCCTCCTCGTGAACCACAGCCCACTGTAAACTGATACAATGCTGCAGGCAGGTGAATACCTCCATGTTGCCAAAATTTCAGCTTTTCTGGAGAAAATAGGAGGGGGTGAGGAGTTGTCTGATCAGTGGTGTGTAATTTTATACTACAGTACATTAGGTAGCACAGCAGAGAGCTGGCAGGAAATAAAGCAGGTGGTAACGATTAATAAAAGACCTTGACTGAACACAAACCTGTGATGATACAATTACATGGTGAATGTGTTAAACTCATGGGCCAGCAGAGCACTCCAGAGATATTAATTAGTTATTCAAATTAGCAATTTAAAAGTAGGGTTGCAAATATTCAGTTAATCGGCTGACAGATGGATAAGCGTTTGTTTGGTTTTTCTTGTCACCACATCGCCATAGACTATAGGAAACTGCATAGGTTCTTTCTCACTTTTTAAATGATTTGATGTTTAATTGTGTAGGTCAATCTGTAAATCAATAATTTGTTGTAGCACTCCTTGAAATTTTATTTATTTTGTGAACCAATACATACAATTTCAGACAAATTACAACAATCCTGGGGCTAAAAATATACATTTTAATATATTCTTAGATTAGTCATTAAGGGTCATTGCTGACTTTGTGCTTAGTTTTGATTCATCAAAAAAACCCTCCTTGCGGCTCTTTTGGGTGATAGCAGATTGCTACAATTGCTGATAGTTTTTATGGAAGTTGCTGATTTGTCTGCAGACCCTCGCTAATTAACCACTGAGTAGCTGCTGTGAGCAACCATTCATCAACCAGCTGGGGAATTTTCGCTCAGTAACCTAGTATACCAGACCGTAACCGGGGATCGCCAACTGGTATCTAAGCCTATGTGAATGGGGCCTAACTGGTTTTAACCCCCCTTGCAGCTGTGGGGCACCTGCAAGCCATTATGCAATCTGCCTTCTGCCCAGCTTCTCCTTTCATGCCCTATCAGACTAAATGTGTATATAGCGGGGTTTTGCCAGCTCTGTGCTGAGGTCTTGCTGCTCTTCTTGCCTCCAGCTTTCCATGTATGCACATGGCGGAAGGGCAGAGCCATGCTATCAAATACAAATTACTGCAGCTGGAAGTGGCGATCTCCTTTTGATTATAGTGGTCCCGACTGAATTGACTTTTTAGTCAGGAACAGCAGTGGACCAAAATAGAAAGAAATTCACCCTTCTAAAAGTACATGTCATGTTTCAGTTGAGAACATTGTGCACCTGCCAGTCAATTCCTGACCTTTAGAAAGGTTTATTTTAAGATTTTTTTTTCCTCTTTTCTTTTTTTGTGACTGTTACAGGAAAAACAGGAAATGCGGGAGAGCAGGGGAATTTTAGGCTGGTGTTTGAATCTTTAGTGGCTGCTCATAGTGTACGACTACATGTGGTATTCACCCCAGTCCCAAACTGTGACACAAATACTAAACTAGCGGGGAAAACTGCATCAAGTCATGCTTAGGATTAGAATCGAGCCTCCCTTTAAGATCAAGATGTGGCTTGATGATTTGCCACATCGCTTATGCTGTTATTATTATTACATGTGCAGTCACTGAAGCAGGTTACAAACTGAATATGCGACAGATCCAGAAATAACAATCGCAGAGGATTGAGTGGGATTGTGGTGCGCAGCAGTGATGACTGTTCCCCTGCTGCATCTCTGGGTGCTATGGAAAGAATATTCCTGTGTGACCTTCAGCTGTGACCTGACAGGAGGTTTCTCTGCGCTGCCTGATGACACACATGTAATCTCTCTTTCTGTGTCTCACAAATATTCAGACGCACACCAACACTCTCCTTCCTCCTCATTATTTTCTACCTCCCTGTATTATTTTCTTGTCCTCTCTGCATTCTCGCTCTTGGTAGTTGACTCACTTTGTTTTACATTCATGCTTTTTTTTTTTTTTTTTTTTTTGCTCGTGCCCTTTAATTTATGCATTGTATCACAAACTCTTGAATCTCAAACCACGGAGAAGAATACTTAAGTAAACTTCTTTTTCTTCTGATTACTACCCATTTGCTAGCAGCTCAAAAACAGGAACTGAGCTGTCAGTGAGACTCTGAATCCTCAACTGGGAGTTGGGAGCAAGAGGAGCGCGGTGGCGTAACGATCTGAGTCATTGTTTAATGTTTATACAGCAAAACATACTGCTCTATAGATGGACTTCACAGAGAGATGTGTTTCGGGGTATTATAAAGGCTTTGCCAGATCCGAGAAACGTATCATCTGTTGTCTGTCCTGAGTCCTTGTTTACTTAATCCATTATGTAAGTTAATACTGCAGTGATAACAAGAAATGTTTTTGTTTTATACCCAGGAACTCTTCATTTTCAAAGTCCGGAAAGAAACTGTAATTCCTGGAAGATTAAGGGCTCAACTCTAGTAGCCTAAAAATAAAAAAAGAGTTTGAGTAACCAGTAATTATTTGTGCTATTATTCCCAGAAATAAATGCGGGACAAATTGACGGACCTTGTGAATCAGTAATGCACTGATCTTAACAGCTAACTACATGAAAGAGGGAGCAGATTTGATGCACAGTTGGTCTGAAAATATCTGGCTCAATTTAGCCTCCTCTAAAACAAAATCTGCGTCTTTCTTTTTAAAGGAAGTGTTTAACAGTGAGTGCGCTTTGTTCCTCTCAGCTTGTCAAACTTCTTAAGACGTGAAAGTTGATATTGGAGACCAAACAAACAGACACTGCCTGCTAAAACTAGGTCACATCATCTCATCAGCTGACTGCAAATATCACACTTCTACAGTTTGGAGCAACACAGGCTATCCTTCGAGCGCTGCCTCACCATTTTTTGTGTGTGTGTCAGCATACTTTGTTAACTGGCCAACATCAAGCTGAAACGAGCCACCCCTCGAGTTGGTTACCACACAGAACATTGTAAATCCAAATCAGTTAAAAGCACTTCAGCCTGTGTTTCTTTTGCTCAAGAGAGGAGCTGATTTTTAGGTGCTGGACAATCCTCCCACCCCTCCCTCTCAGACGTTTGCATGTCTGCACTTAGGAGCTCCTGTCTGTCTTTTTTTTTTTTTTTTTTTTTTTAAACCTCCACATAGACGCTTACAATCTGTCTCCGTGCGACTGTTTTAATGAGATTACTGGCACTTAAAATGCTCTACCTCCTCACCCAACCAAACCCAGGGCTCCCCTCCTTTATCTGTGTGGATGATCTCGCACCATCCCAAGCCAATTACACCATGGATGACTGGTTGTGGGCCATAACAACACAGCCAGGTTCTGTGGTTTAGGGATTATTTGCACGTACGCATGAAATTTTTTGTTAATTAAGTTTTTAACTTTAATTGTCCACAAAACCCATCTCATCCCACAGTGTCAACACAGCCTCCAAAAATGCTAGAGGCAAGGTTTTTGCTTCAGAGTTGTTTAAACTTGTAAATTTGAAAATGCACAAATTGAAGGCTGAGAACACAGTAAGAGGTTGGTGGGTGTTTTAACCATATCCCATGGCAGGATTTCACAACTTTCTTTGCTATTCCTGTTTCCTTAAACTTATTTGTATAATTAGATTGATACATATACAGGTAAAATAAGTCAGAGCTATAGGATGGGGCAGTGTTTTACATGCTTACAAATGTGTAGTTGGTGTTTGGGAAAGTTTGCAAAAAAAAAGGCACATGCGACCAAGCTTATTTTATGCCTCCCACACGAAAAGTGTCACTGGCACTTGAGAAGTCAGTAGTTTAGCTAGGCCATCTTTGATCCCACAGACCATAAATTAGGCTGATCCGTAATTAGAAATCACCCTTATTTCTAGAGTTTTATCACAACTCCTGCCCCCATTCATATCAGAATTTCATAGACAGGCTAAAAATGAATGTGTTATCTCTTATTTTCACCAAGACTGAGGATTACTAATAGTATTAATAATACTTAGTAATACTTAATAGTTTCAACTGCACAGATATTATAGCAGCAATACAAGGAGTACAGTGTAGAAAAAGAAACTGGACTTGCTGTGAGACTCTGTATGCTAGCATATACTGAGATGCACTGATAGCCTGGCATACCTGAAAAATGCATTAGGTCACAACTTTTTGGAAAAATAAACCTTTCAGTATTTTTAACACTGAGATACAGGTAGGAGTAGGGATGGGTATCGTTTAGATTTTATCCAATACCGGTGCCAACCCGGTACTTTTGAAATGGTGCCGGTGCTTAAATGGTGCTGAACCAATGCTTAAAGAATGGAGAACACAAACTTTGTCCAAAAACCTCTCATGTTTAGCTGGGGTTTTTTGTAAAAAGATAACAATGCTAGCCTTTTCTGCAGCTATAGAGCTTATATGGTATCACTCTATCAAACAAGAAGACAGCCGCATGTAACTACGACCGTGTTTGCTAGTTCACCTTACGTGCATTATTTTAATAACGTGTTTAGCCTGTGGCGATCGTGGCTCAAGAGTTGGGAGTTCGCCTTGCAATCGGAAGGTTGCCGGTTCAAGCCCCGGCTTGGACAGTCTCGGTCGTTGTGTCCTTGGGCAAGACACTTCACCCGTTGCCTACTGGTGGTGGTCAGAGGGCTTGGTGGCGCCAGTGTCCGGCAGCCTCGCCTCTGTCAGTGCGCCCCAGGGTGGCTGTGGCTACAATGTAGCTTGCCGTCACCAGTGTGTGAATGGGTGGATGACTGGATATGTAAAGCGCTTTGAGGTCCTTAGGGACTAGAAAAGCGCTATACAAATACAGGCCATTTACCATTTACTCAACGTAAATTACGCACGAACAACATTAAGCTACTCACGCAGAGAAGAACGGCTGCTGCCATCATCATCCGTCATCATTTCTGCTACACTGGCAGGGCTAGGGGCCAGGACTCTCCTCTTCGGGCTCTTGGGGGATGTTGCTAACTCCGGGTCCAATAACAGGCACCACACCCGCAGTATGTGCTCGGTCTTGCAGCAAGCTGTCAAATACGGTGTATTTCTTGGCTTTAAAAAAACACTATGCGTCGCCAGGTGTTTCATCAGATTCGAGGTGTTACCTCCTTTGCACAGTATCACCTCAAAGCACTTGTTGCAGGCTGCTGAGTTTGCATCTTTTGATGTGAAGTACAGCCAGACTTTTGACCGCTTCGCATTTGGGCGTTTTTAATCTGTAACTCTAAAAGAATGTACGTACCTACCGTTTATGTCAGAACCAATACCGGTACCCATCCCTAGTTAGGAGGTAATTGTTGTGCGCATGTTTTAAAAGGTGAATGGGGTTTTGTTAGATTATAGGCGATGGGCTACTGGACGTCCTTACCGCTACAGGGAAGTGTTATAGAGTCGCATCCTATTTCCCTGAACAAATGTTGTGTAAACCATTAACTCATCAACTAATGAGTACCTAAATGTCATAACTGTTGATTCCCTCCCTTTGAGTCTGTTGGACTTCCCACAATAATGAAACTGAGAAAGTGACCTCTCATAAAAAAGGCCATTTTTAAAATTTTGTTATTTCTGTACTTTATTCATACTCATTTTAGCTCAGTGTGAGAGACCCTGCTATTGTTTCTGCTGTGATCCTCTGCTTACTGTTTCATTGTGTGTAACATGGTGAAACTAATACACACAGAGTGGAGCAGAACATGAGGTGAAGTAAAGAGAAACTCATTCTAGTTTTTCATAATGCGTTATGCAACTGTAATAAACAATTGCTATAAACGCTTAAGACATAAGGATCAAATGTCTGAAAGCTAAACTAAAATGCCTGTTTTGTTCCGCCAATGAAAAATAGCGCACCCAGGCAATTCAGTGTAATTTACATTAGCATGGACTGATAGTCATGACTGGTTTTATTTTGCTTGTTTGGTTCTTATGTACACAACGTTTTTGGTTGTAAATGAAGTGCAAAGGGAAATGTGCTAATTTGGTTTTCTCTGAGGTGCTGGTGCTTTAGTTTGGCATCCAGTCAGTAGATAGAGAGAGATCACCTGTATAGTAAGAGTAATAATACTAAAAATCAACCAATAGCAGATGGAGAAAGACAGCAAGACGGCAAGTGATGGCTGTGACACAATTCAGAAAGCTTTCCCCTCGTGTTGTTATGGCCACACTGTCAAGTCAAGTCACGTCGATGAGGCGTCAGTTTGTCCTCCACTGCAGCTCTGCTCATTTAGGATGTCGAGTGTGTCTGTATGTACCTATGTTTATGCCCGGAGCTGCAGTCTCAGCTTTTTCACGCTCTAATCACTGTTTTTCAGTACAAACGCATACTCTCCTAACATGCACTCAGTTTATACACGGTGCCTCTTGGTCTTCAACTCTGATCTCTGCTTTCTTGCTCACATACACAAATGTGTAAAACCCATATGTCTTATTCATCCATGTCTGTGACAGTGTCCACCTGTTTCTTTGAACCTTCTTTAATACAAATAAATTTCCTTTACCTCCTATTTCCAAACCAGGGTATTTTTCTTGTTTGTTTGTTTTTTCTCATAGCATTTTTTTTTTTAATCTTTTGTCCTCTACTGATCTTTTGTTGTCCTCCTACCCCCCCTGTTTTTCATCTAATCCATCCCCACCTCTGTAGGATGGAAATCCTACAGTGCTCTGAGGAGTACACTGGTGTTTACACTCCTCACTCTCCGTTTTCAGCAAATGCTACTATAACAGAGCTAGAGCTTAACCAGCAGTGCTGCTGTTTCTGAGGGTTTTTTGTTTGTAGTAGTAGCAGAAGCAACAATATTGCTGACCATATAACTTACTCTTATAGTGGGCTGTGTTGTGCATGTGCATGCAGAACACGCAAATAAAAGTGCTAACATCCATCTGCACAAGATGCTGCTACAGGCCAAGATTGTTACTGCTTGAGCAGGCAGTCAGAAAAAGAATCAGTCATGTGACTGGAGCATGTTCTCATTATCTAGCTGGATATCTTCCTGCTCATTGACTTACTGCATTAACTGTCCTTTCAGTCTATATATGGAGACGCAGAATAGCTCTGTATATAGCACCAGCCAAATGCTGGTATATGGTTAAATCTGTAGAAAAGCTAACTCTGATGTACTCTCTCTTATCAAGAGATAATGGTTTGTTTTTTGGGCTGAGGAATTCGGCATTTGAAAATCATATAATTTCCAACAAGTCCCGCCCCTTTTCCCCTTAATTTATATGCCTTTGCCTGTATCTCCTATTGGCATGTTTTTGAACTCCTCCAGCAGTGGCTCTTTTATGAACTCGACTCTAAAGGGCGATGTGCTTCAAGCATTCATTATGGAGAAGAGCACAGGCAGGATGAGCGTATATGTGTAGGGATAGGAGTCATGACATAACAACCAGGCAAGCTTGTCACATGTAGCCTGGAGATGCAAGTGAAGTAGGCTGTTGACACACATGAGCACACAGTTTACGCTGACTTTCAGTAACCAGTAGGGTTTTTTTTGTTTTGTTTTGTTCCCATGTAAAAACAGCTGTTGTTACCAGAGTAAATCTGAGTTCAGTCCACACAGTGTGGAGCGCACAGTGGAACAGACACGCACACACGAAGTGAAACCAAGAGAAGAGGTGAATAAAGAAAGTAGCACAAGCGTGAACAGTAGTAAAACACAAGCAACAAACAAGAGTGACTGCAGACAGTTCTTGAGCAACATGTCACCATCTACATTGCTTCAGATAGAATCACATGCACAAATGCAAAATAAAAACTCCACACTTCATAACATGAGGAAATGTGTTATGAAGGCTGTAAAAATGCAGTAATGATATAATGGACTGTCCTCTGTCTGTCTCTGACTCTTTTCTGTAACAGGATGAGACTGGAGCTTATGTAATTGATAGGGATCCTACCTACTTTGGCCCCATCCTCAACTACTTGCGGCATGGCAAACTGGTCTACAACAAGGAGCTCGCTGAAGAAGGTCTGCATGATTGTCTTATTTGCTTGCCAGTAGAAATAAGAATAATACTAGCACATTTGTTGCAGTATGATGCAATCTTTCCCTGATGCCTTTCTTTTGCTTTTGTGTTTTTAATTGAATTTGTGCACTTTATATGAAGATTTGGTATGTCTGAAGAATGTATAAGTCTTCTACTGAGGTAGCTAAAATCAGTTAATAAATAAACGGTTGACAGTAATGGTTAACAGATGGCCAGGACTAATAATCAATAGTAGAGTGATGTGGTTAAATATATGTTCTATAAAGGACAAAAGTAGAATTAAAAATTGTTAGCTTAAAGGAGTATACAGTGGTTGAAATATGAATGATGTTTAGCTGAATATTAAACAATAATATTTAAAGAATATTCTGTTTACTTGGACTGGTTTGCAACATGATTAGGGTGCAGCTGAGGTCATCTGGCGTGGAAATGTTGCACTACAGTGTCACACAGCAGCTGAGTTGAGTGTTTCTTCTGTGACCAGGTGTCCTGGAGGAGGCCGAATTTTACAACATCACCCCGCTCATCAAACTGATTAAAGAGAGGATCGTAGAGAGAGACTCCAAAGCCACACAGGTAAACGCACAACCTGTCAACAGTGAATCACTGAGCTTCCAACTATAAAACGCAGTATATCACATTTATGTTGATTGTATTATTACTCTTGAAACATATAATATTTACTGTATTTAGCTGTTCTGACATGTCCTGTGCTAAATATTGCAGTATTGTTTAGAGTCATAGGATATAGACGTTTGAGCGTTTCAGTGCTTCAGCCTTTATTAATGATTTTGTTCCCCCGGGTGCTTCTATAAAGAGGCCGCTGCTGTACATCAGCCTTCTCTCTTCTTTCTTTGCTTTTCTCGGGATGGTTGGACTCACTCTTATATAATCCTTCTGCCCTCTCGAACATACTCCCACTCTCCCCTTATCCTACTGTTCTTTACTGGACTCACTGCTCGTGTTTGCCTAGCAGGGTTAAATATTGTGCAGAAATATGAAAATAGTGGTGCTGGCTTTTAAACTGCCCAAATAGGATTTGGTAATCCAGAGCGTTGAATGTTATGCAATATGAAATGACTGCACCTTATTGGAAAATTCATAGAATTCAGTCTAGCAGTGTCAGTATTTACTTCCCTTTTTGTATCTCTGGAAATGGTTGCACCTTCCTTTTCATTCATTTCCTGCATCGTCAACTCTTTCCTCTCTCATCCTTTTATACTAGCAGGTGCCCCCCAAGCATGTCTACCGAGTTTTGCAGTGCCAGGAGGAGGAGCTGACTCAGATGGTCTCCACGATGTCGGACGGCTGGAAGTTTGAGCAGGTCAGCGTGCGCACCTGCAGAAAGCCCCGCACCGGACTGCTCTGGACTGTGGGTTGGACTCACGCTGCTGCTGACCCTTTAACCGTGACCCTTGGTCTAACCCCTCGGTCCTGACCCGAGCCTTGCTGTTTGCATTCCCAATCTGAACTTTCCATTAAATCCTAGATTATGCCCTTAGTCTAGTTCTTGATTTGCTGGCCTAATGTTACAGTGACACTAGAGAAAACGGTGGTTGGAGACAACAGCACATGCAAAATAATTACATCCATGTGCCATCAACTGGCAATCTTGTGGAGTTTGAAATGGTTGCTTGGAAGCTGGGGACCAGGTCTCCAAATACTTCCTTCGAAGTCAACCTTCTATCAGTCTGCTGTGAATTTGTGATTGAATAGGGTGAAGTTGGCAATTATGTATCATCCGTTTGTGATAATATGGCAAATAACTGTGACAAATCAGTGGAAATCATAAATTTGTGTCCAACTCCTGCAAAGCTATTGCTGTGCATACAGAAATCCACAATAAATAGAAATTCATAGTAACTACTTGCATTCAGAGTCTAACCAGAACCACACAGATTAGAAAAGAAATTCAGAAGTTCCTCCATAAATGGAAGCGTAGTTGCTCCAGGATGAGAGTTTAACTGCAGGATGACAGGCACTCAGCAACATCGCATTAATGTAGGAATAACCAAATTACATCAAGTTTAGTTAAGTCCCCGTCTGGCAAATAGACTCATCAGAACTAAGTTGCACTCATCAGTTCAGACCGACAGACTGATTGCGATGTTTTGGCAATCTGTCTGCCTTTTATAAATTACACAGCAGTTATTTGCAGACATCTGAGCGCGATTGCAGTCGGTCCGTGTCGGACCACGACTATTTAAAGACACCTATGGGGACCAGACAACGCTTAGTCCCCACACCTACTTACATTTGGTCGCTGAATTTGATGCAGTCACTGGGCAACCTTTTTTGTCGCCTATTTGAAAGGAGGTTGCCATTTAATTTGTACTCTAGCGTGACTGAGCCATTAAACAGCCCCTTTAATCTAGTGAGTCCGTGTGAGTTAGTCCCAGAACCTGTAATCTTAAAGAAATTGTAAACTTTTATAGTTTTAAAATTATGATACTGATTTTGGAGAACCAGTTCTGTCAAATAAACACGCCTTCTTGTCTGTTGTAATGTCAGTCTGTTATTGGCCACATCTCCAAAGACGACCTGTTAATATGTTTAATACTTCTAGACTTCATGGCGTTAAACTGGCCAGCCTTTACAACACTGTAGGCTAAAAATCGCACACAGACCCTGTGTCCCTCCCCCACTCCTCTGCTTTAGCACTTGGCTCCCCTGCATGCTGCACAGCTATGATTTTCATATATTTTTCAGCAGAGCTGACCCGCAGTTGTTTTGCTGTTTCCACAAGTACACAGCGCTTGAATCTACTGCTGCGTCCTCCCCCGTCCCCCAGCCATGCATGAGCAAAAGCAACCTTCCTTAGCTGTAGTATGGGATCTCCACTTTCTGTCTCCTGTGCTGGAAGTCCCCATGATACTCACTGTGTGTCTTTGTCTCTGTCCCTCTCTGCTCTGTATTTCTCTCTGCATCTGCGTCTCTTTCTTTCTAGATGGTGAACATCGGCTCGTCGTACAGCTATGGAACAGAGGATCAGGCTGAATTCCTGTGCGTCGTATCAAAGGAGCTCCACACGGCCGGATCTGGGCTGGGAACAGAGCAGAGTCACAAAACCAAGGTGAGTCTCGATATTTTGCATGAACACACAAGTATATTTCAAAATACACTATGGGGAGAAGCTGCTAAGCTGTGTGTTAGCTGTGTTCGTATGTGTGTATTTCTGCTTTGTTGCGCGATGTGTGAAAGAGTAGAGGTCTCTCAGCTCATTAAAGGTGATATGAGTGTGCTTTGATCCTGCGCCTCTCCACTCAAAGCTCCAAATGTCACTCCCCTCAAAATGTCATTCACAAACACATTCACTCCATCATTCACACAGCTCTGCCTTTCATTCCTGCAGTTCTCAATCATTACTGTATTGGTTCTTCCTCCTTCATGTGGATATATTAATATATATCTGTGTCTGTTTTTTGCCTCTCACTGTCCACTCACTGACACTCATCCGTGTGCTCATTTTTGTCATTTTTCTGTCGCGTTTTTTTTTTTTTTTTTTTCCCCTTTTGTATTTTCTCCTCCTTCCTTCATGCTGAATGAAGCCCACAGAGATGCAGGAGGAGGAAGCGGCGAAGGAGGAGGAGGAGGAAGAGGGGGGGAGAGATACCACACCAAATGAGTGGCTTAGAGAATGAGGGAGTCATGTTTCTTTGTTCCAAAGAGATGCCTGACTGGGTGAGGAACTGTGCAAAAGATGTGCTAGTGGGTAGATGTAGTGGATTTTAGTGTGTGTGTGTGTCTATATGTCTGTGATGTCTGTGAGAAATATAGAAGAGGTTTCATGGCACAGCATTGAGTATGGCCTTACAGTTGCCTTTCTGTTTCAGTCTGAAGCTCTTTCTTCATTGAGTCAGTCCCATGTTAAAATGACCAAATGTAGTTGTGCATTTGGTTAAAGTAGAGCTGGGCGATAGAACGATAACGATATGTATCGCGATATAACCTTTTCTCGATAGAAAAATTAAACTATCGCGATAGACCTCGCCGCTCTTGTCCTCTTAAAAAAACAACAAAAAAAAAACAGCCAATCCAAATTACGTAGCGCAGAGCCGAACCAATCACAGCCGCAGCGTCACGTCACGTGACTTGTTACGTACAGCACAAGTGCCAAGCCGCACATGTGTATTTGTTTGGGAAGCAGCCAGCCACCGTACCGCCCGGGTAATGGAGGAAATGAGTGTGCCGACTAGAAAACTCAACCGAGCGTGACCGAAGAGAAAACAGATGATGGTTCCAATGCCGGAGAGATTGTCGAACGGAAGAGCCACAGAAGTTCCGTAGTGTGAAGGTATTTCGGCTATTTCAAGTCTGACAAAAACCAGAGTAGGTGCACTGTAAATTGTGCCGAAAGCAAGTCTGGAAATACAATAAACTGGTGCATGCGCTACGTCCACACGTACCCGGGTATTTTTGAAAACGCAGATTTTTCTATGCGTTTGCACCTTTCGTCCACACGTAAACGGCGTTTTTGGTCACTGAAAACGAAGATTTTTGAAAACTCCGTTTTTGCATTTACGTGTGGACGAGAAAAACGGAGAAAACGCAGCGTCAAAGGTGTGCGCATTTTTTGACGTCACACTGTGCGCCACGTTATTGTTTCAGTGAAATGAATTTCTACAATACTGTTACTGTTAATTCTACTCTCTGCAGTGTTTAAATGCTTACATATACACACAGTTACTGTCCCTCCACACATACGACTCGGTTCTGCTTCTATGCCCCAGCTTTGTTTACTTTTTCCCACCGAGGCTTCTAGACTTCTGATTGGCCAACATTTCTGCACGGTTAGGAATCTAGCGCCACCTGCTGCTTTGGCATGTTCATAGCAGCGTTTTCCTTCATTTCTCCCTTTATGTGTGGACGGGATTATTTTTTTTAAAACGAAAACGGAAAATCTCCGTTTTCAAAAATACCCGTGTACGTGTGGACGTAGCCTCAGTCTCTGACTGGAAGCGCTAATTCGTCATTCGGCTTTTGTCAGACTAAAGTAACTGTTAAAACTGTTTGAAAAGCTAAGCTATACAACAAGGAGAGATTGAGAATTTCCTTTTAGTTCTCAGTTTATTTGATATTGACAAGTTAGTCAGTTTTGTCTGTTCTTCTGTAAAACAAACTAAGATTTATTTTTAGAATGAATATTTTGTTTCTAAGTGGAATTGACAATTTAGTCTGTTTCGTTTGTTCTATTTTGAAACTTAAACGCTTTAGTGGCTGCCTTTTGTGTAGTTTGCAATATTTGCCTTTATTTATCTGAAAAAGTCTCATGTTCCTTAAGTACATCTACCCTGTTGAACTTATTATGGGAAATAAATATTTAAATAAAAACAAGCTGCTGATTATTTCACATTTTACTTGTGAGCAACGGCACATTTAAATCTTACAAATATAGTTATTTGGCTTATATCGTGATAGATATCGTTATCGCCTGAAATGAAAAAAACATATCGTGATATGAAAAAATCTTATATCGCCCAGCTCTAGGTCAAAGTGAATGTTGCATTTAGATTACTGGTTGAAAACTGTAAGGTTGCAATGATTGTAACACATTAAAAAACATGGGCAAAATATAACACATGCATAATCGCTAATCATGATTTGGACCATAAACAACAAAAATAAACTCTTACTTTGACTAGGATGGAGGCCTTGTGCTCATAACCAACATGAGCACAGGACCAGTTAATTTGTATTATATTTTTAGGATAATTATAAGTTATTTACACCATTGCACAATTGCTATTGGTCCTATATTTACAGATATGCTTGTTATACCAGCATGCAAAATGTGCTCTTAAAGTAACATGCCAGTAGTGTCCCTGCAACTAACGACAAGAACGAAGCGATTTCCTCTTTATCTGCAAGTTTACCCCTTAACTGTAAAAAGGCTGATGGGGTGAACACGATAACTTAGACTTTTCGAATGAATACTAGTAAATATGTCAGAGGAGTTCAAATCTCAGTGAGGTCAGGGTCAGAGGTCAAGTTTTTTGAAAATCTTGTGAACACGATAACTCGCGAAGGCAGTCCCCTGGGATTTGGTGTAGCACTGTGTCAGTATTTTTTTAATTCATGCACTGATGTTTTGTGTATAACATTTAAAGTAACCAGTATTATAATAATAATAATAGTTATTGTTATTGTTATTTATTAGTTTGTGTTAGCACTCGATCACCAATCACAGTGGTTAGCTGGTAATTTGACACAAATATGACCAGTTCTTGTTCAGAGAAAAAAAACAGCTGTGATCAAGATACCAAGACCATCTTTTATATGTAGTTATTTGTCACTGTGATTAAATGGAAAACAGATTTCGATAAAATGCATGTGTGTGAGAGAATGTGATGAATTTTGCTAATTGGCGCTTGGTTGGAAATGTCACTTTCCCCACACAGCCTCACATGTATCGATTGAGAGCTGCGTCTCTATGGGCTCTCATTGTCAATGCTGTGACATGGAATATCTCTGACCTTTCAGTGCAGCAATAGTCTTCAGATGTCCTTCCCAGTCTGTTCACATACATATACAGTGTCAGTGTAAAGTCACACACATGTGTAATTAACATTTGCACAATGCACAATTTAAAATTCAGTAAATATCAAAGCAGAAAACACACACTCGTATGTAGTAAGTAGCGAAGATGGCTGTGTTTGTTTTGTTGTTTCCAGTCATTATGCGTGATAGTTAAGTCACTTATTCTCAGTTGCTCAACATATTCATCATCATTGCCATCATTGCAGCCAAAACCATAGCTTAGATTGTTTGCAGTGACTGTAGATTTTATGTCTGCACTTTTCCAATCGCTAATGTCTGTTTTTGTTTTGTCGTTTTGTCTTTCATTTTGCAGCTTTTTCAAATCCACGGGTCCCGGATGTAGAAATCACGAGAATTTATTTTTCCTATGCTTGTCATGTTCTGTACATGGCATTTGTGTGTTTTTGTCCGTGGACAGTCAGCGCAATACGTAGCATTGTTGCCACTTCATTGACAAAATGCTGGTTAGTTTTAGCAAACATCCAAAAATGTCTAATATCACTGTTAACGCAATGGAGCAATACCATCTTAAAAAAAGAAAAAAGTGAAATCACCTTAATTTACAGACATGCTCATGTGTTGTGTCTGTGCAGATGTTATATTGCCAAGGGCAGTAGTGCAGCTTAGTAAATCATGACCAAAGAGCCATATTAGATCTGGCTGAACCAAGGTGCTGATTCTTAATATGACAGGAGAGAATTGGCCTCGTCTTGGTTAACCTGGGAGGAGCTGTCCCATCTGTGCTGCACAGGATTTGCATCATTTTATTTCCCAATGAAGCAGCTATCCCGGTGATTTATGCAATTGTTGCCCAGTCTTTGACCATCGACTCTGCTGAAGTCCTGACAGTATTTCATAGTTTGGTACGAGGTTTTCTCATGACAAAAAAAATCACCTTGGTTGTGAAGAAAACCTGCCAGCAGCTGCTGGACCACACAGAGCAAAAGTGTGTTAAATCACCCATATCAGCCTTATTTAAAGATGACTTCAAGCGTACTCAAGTAATTAAATCTTCACGAGCTCAACTCAAAGTCCACTAATTTGTTGCTCTCAGTCATTCAGGAGGGTGTGTGTTTGTGTGTTAGCATAGCCACTTCTTGGTTTGGACTGTGTAACTGAAGTAGGTCAAAAATGTGCTTGTGGGGACAATTTTACACGCTGCACTGGTGAAAACACAAACTGCTCTACATTGTTGCCCACAGACACACACATGCGCGCGTATATACATATATCCCTTGTTTGTGCTGATGCATACCTGCATCACCTTGCACAACAGCAGTGTTGCTTCGGTCTGTTGCCATGGCTGGGATCCAGTTCCTGCTTTGGCCTCAACAGACTTGGAGACGTTGGTGTAGTCAGGAAAGGCTTAAAAAGCAGGCATGGAGGAGGAAGGGGGCAAGGAGGAGTCTGGTGTACCACAGCTTTGTAATATTAGTGATCATATCCTGTTTTTAGTTCCAATAAAGGCCCCACAGCAAGCAGATCTGCTGCAGTGCAGGTGTATGACTGAAAATAAAATGTCAAAGAAAGCCACGTGACTTTTAACAACCTCTGCTGTGAACATGCAAGAACCACACCACAGATCACATTTGGACTCATGCACGAGACTGTGGCCAATTTCCTTATAGCTCTAGGCATCACTCTGCAAATACACCACTCACATTTGGTGTTTATTAAATTTCAGGAGGTGCACTTAGTGAATGTTAGGGTGAAACCAAAAGGGTTATACATTAGTTATAAAACAGCAGGTTTTTAAAGCATGTAGATAAGAATTTAGAGTAGGTCTGTTATCCGGTTGTTCAGTCTGACATCACTAGCCGTGTCTGGGTCTAAACTCCGCTGCAGGTCCACATATCAAACGATCACTATGGCATTACTGAGAGTTGAAAAACTGTCTAAAGTCTTTCATCTTTAATAAAATGATCAGCGTTCTGCTCTACCAGGTGTAACAATTGAGTTTAACATCCAGGCATCCATGAAAATGAATTTATGACATTTAACGGAGTTAGAAGTTAGCAGGGAGTTAGCTCGCTAGCTTCTATCTAAATACAATATAGCATGTCCTGACTGCGGGGTTTTGGAAACAAATTAAAACGTACAGCTCTGCTATCACTTCCAGCATAAATGAAGACAGAAAACTAAACAGCAGTGACGTTTGTCGGGTTACTGAAGTTGGGCTAGCTGGTATATAATGATGTGCTAGGTGACCGCTAGCGACACAGCTATGTTAGCATAATATAAACAAGCTAACTTTTTTCCCACTCGATAAAAGTTACCGTGAGTGTTCTCGGTGGTCAGGAACAAATGTAATCGCATGGCAGGATGCTGAAAAGGACCAAACTTCAGCCAGGAGAACAACTGAGATAATCCATCCACAATACGAGGTTAGTCATTCATATACTGCTGCATGGGCTGGGCTGTAGTTACATCCTAAGGTTTTAAAGACTGAGCTTAAATAAATGATTAGTGGTAATAAAAGCCGAGGGAGGACAACAGGGATCACTGACTGTTTTAGGAGCTTTTTGAGATCAAATAGAAGAAAATACATAACATTAAACATGTTAACAACACAAAAGCCATATTAAACGCAGACTACTTTAGACCCGGAAGTAGGATTCGTCGCGTCATCACTGAACAACCGGATAGTCCAACATCACGCTGTAGCTTATAAGAAAACACTTACTTGAACAGATGCTAACATTAAAATGCAACTCAGCACTTCTTGGATGCATAAATAAGTACATTTGTGGAGTAAGTGATGTAAGTTATTGGTCTGTTTTCAGCCTCAAATTAAGATTTGGTGCGCTTCTCAGATTGAACGCAAGCCCAGAGGGATTATTTCTGCCTCTGAGACTACAGCAGCCGTGTTAAGCATCGTCTGCAGCTTTAGTCTCACCTCCTGCTGTTTAGCTCCTACAGCACACCTACTGACCAGCAACACACAGCCAACAAGTGTGCAGGGGTCACAAATTTGAGACAATCGAGAAATAAGATCGTGGTCGGCAACCTTTTTTTTTTTTCCCCCCTTCCCCTCTATCCCCTAACATTTTGATAATAAAATCAATTTAACATAAAAAAAAAATAAAAGGGATGTAAATACAATATTCCATGTTTGTTTTCCATTTATAGCACTGATCAGAAAACATATCCTCAACCTGTGGGATCCTCCCGATCCCTAATTAGGAGGATTAGCAGAACACGGTAAATGTTAAATGTGTAGTTAGCCTGCAGTTACTGCGTACGATACTCATAACAGTGATATTGACAGAACAGAGAAGACCAAAAGATTTCATTTCTTCGGCTTTTTTTTTTCCTCTTCTCTTTGTGGCTTTTAATTCATTCAGTGCCTTGAGTTCAAGCAGCAAAACAGACATGTCAGCATGATCGTAGCTGTTATTCCATGCGTTTTTAAGTGGCTGCTTTTAATATTTTACAGTAGATGGTTTACAATCTCACTTTTTGTTTTTACTTTGTCTTCTCGTGCATTTACTGAGGTGTTCCTGTAGAGATAAAGAGTAAGTGTGCACACCAAACAGCTGCATGCATGAGGTGAAGCTGGTTTAAGATGTTTTGTATAAAAAGCACCACCTTTTTTTAATTGTTTTGTAAGTTTTGATGTCTAATTTATTCTTAGACTTTTTTTTTGAATATTACATTGTAAGAATTTGGCCGTTTGTTTTTAGATGCGTGTGGGGGGGGTACTTTTGCTCGTTTCTACTTGAAGAATAGTGTTTCTGTTTCACTGTCCTGACGATCTCAAACAGCACATACTGTATAATCAGCAGGTTTACTGATTCCAAGTTTTTCGTCTTGGCTCACTTAAATGTATAAACCTCCATTTGCATGTCCTGTTACAGTACCCTGTTTGTTTTTTGCTTGATCCCTCACTTCATTTTTGCTGTACAATTAGTACTTAATGTGTAAACACAGCAGAGCTCTTTCATTAGCCTGTGCAAAAAAACCAAACATCTGTCATCGTCAAATCGGGATAGAAAAACATTTCTCTCTGATGCTGGAGATTCTTTCATCTGCTGTCTGTAGAGCCACTTTACTGTCTGTGAGCATGAAACGGATCCATGTGTGACGCATGAATCGTACGGGCTTCAGGAATCAGTGTTTGGATAGTTTCAAAACTGGACTTCATGCGGTCCTGAACATATGACATCTTCAACAGAGTGAAAGGAAAATGTACTTCTTTTTTTTTCTTTTTCTAAATTTAATGTAAATGAATGTCAGCATTGTCAACAAAAATAAACATTTGGTTTAAGGTACAAAGTCTTTGTTTTGTTTTTTTGCCCTGATCACAATGAGCCCACTGTGCACTGCTTTCTATACCAGCGGTCCCTAGCCCCCGGTCCACGAGCGAGAGTTGAGGCTCAGGAGTGAAATTGATGGTTTTCAGGGTTTTTATCGTTAACTCTGTTTCCCTGGGTCTTTTCCCTTGTGTTATGAATACATTTTCTATATATTTTCATGCACTCTATATTTGTTTTGTAGTTGTCTTATTTTGAAAGACACGTTTTTGTGCGTTACCATAGCGACCAGAGAGGAGGATGGTCGCCGAAGGCTGTCCAAATTCGTTGACTCTCCGAATGCAGCCGACAAATGCGTCCTCTTCACGGATGTGTCCTTCGTGGCCCACCATATCCCAGAATTCATGGTGGGCCAAACTGCAGTTCGCAGCCGCTACTAAGTTTTAAAATTACTCTTATTAATCTTTCTGGGTCACAAAATAAACTTTTAACATATTTTCAGGTGAGAACTTCAAATATCTGCTCGGTTTATCAAGATATCGCATATTTGCAAAAGTGCTTCGACGTTTTCGGAGACGTCTGTTACCCACCAGCTCGATAGCTAGCCGAGAGCTCGAGGATCACTAGAGCCGCCGAGAATGGCACAACTCCCGGCACATTAGTTTCAGATCACCGCGGGCTTTCGCTACTCAGGTTAAACGTAATAAATAAGTCACTTAGACAACCTAAAAATGTTATTGTTTGGCTTTTTTCAGTGTTTTATTTGTTCGCGAGTAAATCGGTTTGGCTGAGATTAAAGTTATTAGATTAGATAAAATAAAACTTTATTCAGCTGTGTGAACACCAAGGAGGAACCCACCCGGGCGATTAATAAACGTCAAACAGAAAACTGATTAAACAGAAGTGCGAAATGGTCGAGAATTTACGCCAGTGTCCTGTTATATTTTAGATAGCAAGGAGCAGACAGCCGAGTTTATTAAACTCCACCGACACAGCAGTGACGCTAATCAGAAGGCTAGACCGTCCAATTTCACAGCAGTTTACTTCCGGCCTACCCGACCTCCTGAGGACCCGGCCTACGTAGACCGCGAAGGCCGGGTCCTCAGGAGGATGCAGCCCATGAATTTGGACATGACTGATGTTACTCTGTTGCGGCGCATTTCAGGAGGACGCTGCTAATAAAGTTACACAATTACACAGTGACTTCGCTTTCATTATTGTGTTTACAAAATACCAGTTTTTGTCTTGGTCGTATCATTTTATTTTGTTGTATTTATCTGCAACACCTTAAAGGCCGGTCCGAGAAAATACTGTCAGACATTAAACCGGTCCGTGGCGCAAAAAAGGTTGGGGACCGCTGCTCTATACAATAACAAAGGCACTTTTTCAAGGGCCTGCAGTGCAGCATCTTCCTCCCTGAGCTTCCTCAATACAGCCTCCTCTGCATGACATGAGATGTATACGGAGTCAAAAACTGGCCGTCATTTGGTTAAAGTAATAAATGCAGATGGTGCTGAGTTGTGACTTTTATAAGCATTGTCTATAGATATTTATGAGACCTATAATTTACTTACTGGCTGACAAATGTGGAAACAAATACACATTAAGCGCTGTACATAAATAGAATAACCCAGTTTTAAGCTAAGCAGCAGAAACAATCAATGAACATTAATGACAAAAACAACAGGATATATTACAAATACAAATGTATTACTGTAGTTCTAAAACCTTTTCCAAACTGTACAATGCACAAAAAGGGCGAACCTGCATTTCTGTCTGTGCAAAACGGCCTCTTCTGTTCTTATCGTGTTCCTGTGTTTTGTTAGTTGAACAGGCCATTAGCAGCATCTGCACTGGCATGCGAGGGTGCTGCGGCTGGCTCATCCCATAGTAAGTGAATCAAATCCAAAAGCGCTGCCACCTGACCACATGAGCATCAGCTGTGTTTGGGTTTGTTTGTTTTTTGCGATATAACTGGTGCTGAAATTTTGTGCATTTATTTATTTATTTATTTATTTATTCTTTATTTTTCCAAGTGTCTTTGACCCCTCATAACTTCAGTTTGGGTTTCCACACTATTTTATAGATGTATGTAGATCAATTTCCGAACCGTATTATTACACATTCACAGGTGTAAAAATACAGATGTAGCAAAAAATAATTTTGGCATAAAAGGAAAAAGAGCTAGAAGCTGAGCCTGGAATCAAAATTTGGATAAAAATGAATCCTTAAATATGCTAAATCTTGTTTTAGCAGAGTACCAGACCTTCAAAGTTGGCCTAAAATGCCCTTTTTGACCGTTTTTCTTTTGACGGAGGATAACAAAATCCCCCAACTGGTTATAGAAAAAAATCTGCACTGAACAAATCTAAGGTTTTGGCTTTCAGCTATGACACTTGAGTGGGTAAAGCATTACATCAATTACATAGTACAAAGTTTCCACCCGCCGTTTCCAACCACCCAAAATGATGGCAGGAAATAATGCGTGAATATTTGAGGACTTTTAATTCCTCATTTTTCTATGCTTGATTCCCTGCTCTATATGCAATAACAGGCAAATAGTTACAGCATGCTCTACAGGAAGGTACTGAGTGTGTTATCCACAGTGGCTAGATGCAGGTACTCGGGAAGGCTGCTCTCAGACTCGACCTCTGACCCCTGGTCGCTGGTGTCCTCCTTGCTCTGACTTGGTAGCAGCTTCTTCCTTCGCACGGAACCTCGCGAGCGACGCTCCAAACACGTCAAGGTCATGTGGGCGAGGTCCTGCTGGAGCCGCTGGACGTTTTCACTGGAAGAGAAAGCACCGTGTTGAAAGAGTGAATCTCAGATGCGGAGCTGCATGTGAAAGGATTTTATCTCCTTTTTGCTCACGTTGTGGGTGGAGTAGGAAGATCGTAGTCTTCACCAGTTTCACCTGTCAACCAGTAAGTTGTTTCTGTACCTTTACCCTAAAAAAACCCCACATATTCATCACAGTCACTGGCATCAGTGTCGCAGTGAAGGTTTTTGTCACTGTATCTCAATTTAATTTGGCTGACATGCTGCTACATTGAATGTAGAGACCAACCTTTACCTTCAGGTATGTTTCCCCTCTCATCTCATACTCAAACTTGCAGTTTGTTCTCTCCAGGATATCTATGGTAGGCTGACTGACATGGATCCGCAGGGCTGTGAGATAAAAAGAAAGACAACAGAGCTTGGCTGTGGTCACTTTATTTAATTAGGCTGACTGCTGGCTTCTATAATTGCGCTAGACTAATGTACGGGAAGTCATTCATGTAAAATAACGAGAACAAAGGAAGCGGCTGGAGAAAATGTCAGTGTAAATCAGTTTGTTCATTACATGTGTCCACTCACGGTGTCCTGTAGATTCCATACGAGATGCTGTGTTGACCGTGTCTCCGAATAAACAATATCTGGGCATCTTTATTCCCACGATGCCCGCCGCACAGGGACCTGAACCCACAAACAACCAGGAGACAGAAGAATTAGTGTAAAGATCAGCAGGAGGTGAATTGATTTGCCAAAATGACTAGTTTAAAAAATGAAAAACAAAGAAGAAGAGACCTGAGTGTACACCGATTCGTATCCACACAGGAATACCGGGAAGATGCCGGAGCTGGAAGGTGCCCATGAATGCCAAGATGTCCAGCGCCATGCGGCAAATATCCACTGCATGCCTGTTCCCGTTTCTCTTTGGAAGACCAGAAGCAACCATGTAGGCATCCCCTATTGTCTCCACCTGAGGATAGTCAAGGAAACCATGATGTTCGTGCTCATTGCCGGGTGCCTGAATGTCTTCGGTTTCATCCCTGCCAATACCTTGTACACATCGTGGTGGTCGACGATGCTGTCAAACCCCTTGTAGATGTCGTTTAGCATGTCCACAACTTCCATCGGCGTGCTGTACTGGCACAGAGTGGTGAAGCCAACTATGTCACTGAAATATATTGTAACTTCATCGTACAGCTCTGGCTCCACAGCCCCGGTCTCCTTCAGGCTTTTAACCACCGGGCTTTTAACCACAGAGAGAAACATAATAAAGAAAAGACATTTTTTCCATTGAGATTTCATTCTGATTTTGAGTTGGTTAAACCAAAGGCCCCCCCAAGTTTCCCCAACAGTTCATTCATCCATTTCATCCATGTATCGTTTATTTTTAAATAACTATCCTTTTTAAACAGTTCAATAATGCTACTTGTTACAACCATTTAACTGTTAATTTACACTAACGTTTTGATCATTAATTAACACTAATTATTTCAATTATTTACTCATAATTAAGGTAACATTTCTAACCATTTAAAGAGACAAATGTATGCTAATTTAGTAACTATTTAACCATTAATTTGTGTTAGCTTTTTAAAAACTATATAGCTTTTAATTAATAGGGTTACTATTAGACTAGGCCTTTTATTAGTCAGTTTGTATTAACTATTCATTTAACAATTTTATTCAACAATGTATGGTAACTTTTTAACCATTTATAGCCATTCATTAATGCTAATTTTTTAACATAAGATCAGATAAGATAACCTCCATTAGTCCCACTGTTTGTTTGTTTTTTACAGCAGAAAGTGGACAGTGCAAAGTTACAGAAGCAAAAATTAAGAAAAAACACTGGAATAGGATAAGATAATAAGAATAAGATACTGTACACCATAGAATAGAATAAAATACTATATACAACAGAATAAAATGCAATGTTGACAGCTTCAGGTACCTTGGTGTTTATCTGAACAATAAACTGGACTGGACTCATAATTCAGACGCCCTCTACAGGAAAGGGCAGAGCAGGCTGTACCTGCTGCGGAGTCTCAGGTCTTCTGGAGTGGAGGGCCCACTCCAGAAAACCTATGACTCTGTGGTGGCTTCAGCCATCTTTTACAGTGTGGTCTGCTGGGGTGGCAGCATCTCTGCCGGGGACAGGAAGAGACTGAACAGGCTGATCCGCAGGGCCAGCTCTGTGTTAGGATGGACCCAGTGGAGGTGGTGAGTGACAGGACAATGGTGGCTAAGCTGTCATCTCCCACCCCATGCAGGAGACTCTGAAAACATTATTTAACCACTAATTTACCTATTTAAAATATTTAATCCAGTAGTTTATGCTAACTTTTAAAACGCTTTAACCGTCAGTTTACAAAACTTATTTTAACAATTCAGTCAAACAATTTAAAGTAACCTTTCTAATCATTTATTGTCATTAATTTATGCTAGCTTTTTAAACTATATACTGTAACTACTAACTTATCTATTTCAACTATTTAATCCAATAGTTTATGCTGTTTAAACTCAAATTTATATTCACTTTTAAAAATTATATAGCTATAAATGTATACTACCCATTAAAAATATTCAATCCAACAATTTATGCTTAGCTGAACTTTTACAGCCACTTAGCATTTTTAGCATATTTCTTCTTCAAATTTTGACTTGTTTTTGGAGGCATAGTACATACACGGCCAATCACATTTACACCTAATTTAGAATCACCAATAAACTTAACATGGATGTCTTTGAACTCTGAGAAGAAACCAAGCCAACGTAGAGAAAACCAACGTAGGCAAGGGGTGACCTTCTTGCTTTAAGGTGACAGTGCTAACCACTGAAACTCAGTGCTGGTCACTGTTAATGTAGAAATAAAACGAATTCTCTAACAGTGCATGAATGATTTAGCATCTATGTCCTGATTGTTCTAAGTGTCTAATGATGTGCATTTGTTCTTTAAGTGTAAACAAACCCAGGCAGCAGCATAAAGTTAAGATTGTCAGCTCGATCCCTCTCAGCTTTGTAGAGAGCCGTTCTCTCTTCCACCAGGTACTCCAGGTTTCTGGAATACATCTGCAGCCGTCTGATCATGTTATCCAAGTAGCTCTCATTTTCCTGATTATGGATTTTACTGGCGTGATGAAGAGGAGAAGAAAAGGGATATGAGGAGGGAGATATATTTAGAAATCTGTAATCCGTTTCCCAGAAACTATAAAGGCTACACCAGGACATGCACACTGATAGCTGAAAACAGCAATAACATAAAGAGAGCATTATTACCTGATGATTTTCCCCAGATAAATTTCCACTTTCTTAAAGTCAGGTCTTTTTTCTGGGTCCTCGTCCCAGCAGCTTTTTATCAACGTGTACACCTTACAGGAGGAAAGAACAATTTGAATACAATACAGACAAAACAGATGCTGAAAATAAAATAAAGCTGGCACATGAATGGAAAAAAAAAACCTCTAATTCTTTCTCTGAAGCCGTCTCAAAGTTAAGATCAGGTCTGAAGTAGGATGACTTGAGCCTGGACAGTTTTTCTGTTGAGAAACACACAGAGACGCAGATGGCATTGTAGTGTAGCTCCGGATCAAACAGGTCTTCTTTCTTTCACTCTGAACTTGGTGGTGCAGAGATGATCATTTGCAAACAAAATGACTGTAACTGTCACGTGTTGTATTTGAGTGTTGGAAACCTGATCGGTCGGAGCAGGATTCAGTGTAGAAGGTGTTCTTCCTGAGAACAATCTCTTGCGCAATGATGGCAAAACTGTAGACGTCTCCTTTCTGAGACGTGCCCTCGTTCCTCAGATGCTCCGGAGCTGTCCACAAGTCTGACAGGATGATGTGGAGACAGACAAACGTTAGCAGGTAAAGAAGAGAACAAAAAGATATTTCAGGAGGATTTTTGTTTGCGGCGTCACCTTGGAAGGGGCTAAGAAAAGCATTGCAGCCAAAGTCTGTGATCTTCACCACCATGCGGTTGTCCACCACACAGTTGGTGGATTTGAGGCGACCGTGAACCTGAATGTCACTGGCATGGAGGTAAGACATGCCCTGCACAGAGGATTCAGAGCAACATTACACCTTCCACTGGTGGAAGTAATGAGATTTATGGAAAATCAAAGAGGCGGTGAGTAATCTGGTGTTTAATGACCTCTGCTGGCAGGCAGAGGCAAGTGCAACAGCAGCTCCCATAACACAGGTCTGCAAAAACAATTTTTTTCAGTGGCATGGGATATTTTTGGTAAATGTTATGTTTTTTAGGGTGCTGAATCCAAAAATGACCTCCATTTCCCTCCATTACATACAGTTTGCTTTTGCAAAACATGAAGAGTTTACATTAAACTAAAAACATGAATTAAGAAAACCTGACAAAATTGAATTTTTAAAATATTTTTCCTCGTTTCAGTGAGTAAAAATCTATGAGAAGCAGTCAAAAGATCCTATGCACCTTTTGGTTGCAGACCTGTGTAATCCTGCTCTTCATTTAAACCAAACCTTTTTAATAATTTTGAGCCAGAAAAAAATACTTATATAAAAGCTTACTGTGCCTTCACAGGGTCTGACTTATCAAACAACAAGCTTAGAACAAAAACCCCCACCAACACTTAAATGTTACATTTTAAATGTTTAATCATTTAATTATTAACTAGTGGGATAATATTGAGTCTTTCTGGTAAGTTGCCAAGTTGTTTATCGCACTGTGACATCAATCAAACTGATCAAACTTTAGAGGCACAGTCTTTTAATGGCTTTGTTTTGATCACAGTTGTTACAGATAAGGAGGCCTCTTCACTATATGTACTTCTTATTGAAACTATAAATCCATTTTCTTTATGCTTGTCCATCCTTCAGCTCACAGTGACAACATGACTAAAGATAGTTTAAAAATGGGTTCTTTGCAAAGTTGTTTGTTATGTGTAGATACAACACTGGTTCATCCCTTTTTTTATGCTTGCATAGTCTACTGGACAAAAAATGAGTGAAAAAGCAGCCAATGTCTAAATAAAAACTTTAAAAGATTTTCAGAAAGCCTGCAAAACTATTGCTTAAGAGTCGTTTGAACAAAGCAACAAAATCTGGCTCCTTGGAAGCAAACTATGAAGACATGAGGGGACTTTTGCACAGCGCTGTGTAATCCTGGCAGTCACATTACACTCAGTTTGTCCGTTTGGCTTTTGATAGAACTTCTAAAGTTTTAGTAAACGATTATTACTCACGTGAAATAAGTGTCAGGATTGAGCGAACCTTCCTTTCTTTTTGATGATGATGTTCTGGGTTCAGTTTATTATACGGTAACAGGTGAAGTGATCCCATTGCAGTTTACATCAGGTACAAAAGTTTATTACCAGTTACTCAGGGATCTTTTATGTCACGCTGCATGAATGGTGAGTAATATTGACTAACGCTAAGTTTCATAACCCTTTTTCAGTTATGTATTAAGACAGATTGCTACTAACTATGTCAAGCTCTCAGTACATTGTCCTCTGTAATGATTTATGGTGTTTAGTGAATGCTGCTGCTTTATGGCAGATACACGTGACCGTTTTTCTGCTCAGGGCGGCGAGTAACGAGTCAATCTCCACTTGTGTGGTCTCTTATCATGCCACACACTGCATGTGATGCTTGCAAATGCTTAACTTTGATAATTGTTCTGCTCACGGGCAAAGTCGAGCACTTCTCTCTCACCTTGGCGATGTCGTACATGACAGAGATCTTGAACTCCCAGTCCATGAAGGTCTCCTCTGGGTATGAAATCTTGTCATTCAGCACACACTTGAAAAAGAAAAAGACACCCCAGTTCTGCATTAATACGCTTTTATTCTTCATACTTCTTGACGGCTGTGTTTAAACTGAGACCTGAAGATGGATTTAAATTGAAAGTTTTGCTACACGTACCCTGAGCGAGCCTCGCTCGCCATACTCAAACACGCCAAAGACACCGTGATCTAACTTGACTGTGCCGTAAAACTTTGTGAGGTTGTAGTAGTCGATGTGCAATAGCTGCAGGGGGGGCAAACATGTGGAGTGCTAGTGAGTTTGGATAAACATTAACAAAGAGGGCTGGCAGTAAAAGGATTTCAGTGTGATAAGACGTCTTACCGCATTGAGCTCCCTTTTCTGGGTTTTATCAAAGTTCCCATCCGAGTTCTTCAGCTCCTTCAAGATCACAATCTGAAAGAAATATTGCAGAAGCACCAACCAGATTACATCTGCTAACTCACTTTCATCAGTGCAAAAGCACTAGATGCTGACTGATTTGGAAAACACTGCAGGATGCTGTCCATCTACCTTCTTATCGTAGAGCGCACAGCGGATCTTGAACTTCTTTTTCTTCTTACTTTCAATCTAGCGGGGGTTAGAGGAAGGTCGCTGTCACAGCATTCTTAAAGCTGACTTGACTGAGGTGTTTACTGAGGTGTTTTCACTTACATTAAGGGAGATGACGTTGATGTCATCATTTTCCATCAGCGTGATGAGATCAGAGTTCACGTGGGACCAGCGCTTCCTGAGCAGTCGATCTCTTCTGTTCTGTCTATGCGGGAAAGAAAAAACTGCATCAGGAGATTATTGGTAAAGGTTGGTTGCACGAAAAGCATCTGACTCCTATGTTTATAAAAGGCAGCTTTCAATTTAAATTTCATGTCATGAGTCCATGTTTTAGAGAGTGTAATAGAGCTATAACCTGTATAGTACATACAGACTTTCAGATTATTTTTCATGTAACCTGAAAGTCCGTATATACACAGCTCTAAAAGATAATTGTAGCACCTTTTAATCAGAGTGTAGCATCAAGCCAGTTACACGTCTGGGACACTAATCTGGTCAGTTTAGAGGAGGTTAGTTCAGTTTCAGGTGGAGGTCGCTGACATTTTCTTCCCTCTTCATCTTTTCTGATGGTTTTTTCACTACTTTTGCATTTTTCTGGGGTCAGTGTCACTCCTGGTGGCATGAGGTGATACCTTGACCCTACAGAGGCTCCACAGGTAGTCCAACTCCTCCATGTTGGCACATTAATACGTGCCATTTACAAAAGGTTTGCTGTGTCTCCCGAGACAGTCTCAAGAGCACAGAGGAGATTTCAGGACACAGACAGTTACTCTGGACAGGCCTGGAGAAGATCTTTAACCCACTTTTTTGTGCAAGATGAGAACTGTCAAAGCTCCAGCAGGACACTAGTGTTAATGTCTCTGACCAGACAATCAGAACAGACTTCATGAAGCTGGTTTGAGGGCCCAGCGTGTTCCAGTGGGCCCTGTGCTCACTGCCCAGCACTGTGGAGCCTAATTCACATTTCCACAGAATACCAAAACAGGCAGGTCCACCACTGGAGCCCTGTGCATTGCACAGATGAGAGCAGGTTCATTTGAGCACATGTGACAGAAGTGAAAGGGTTTGGAGAACCCGTGGAGAATGCAATGCTGTCTGTAACATCCTTCAGCATGACTGGTTTGGTGGTGGGTCAGTGATGCACTGGGGAGGCATATACATAGAGGGACGCAGAGATGTCTACAGACCCTGACTGGCATCGGGTATCAGGATGAAATCTTCCTCTGAATACACAGCAATGCCCATCCTTATATGCTGAGAGTATGCAGGAAGTTTCTGGACGATGATACCGATGTCTGGCCTCCACACTTGCCTGACACCTTTGGTTTCAGTTTCAGCCCATCTGAAGCTGTCAGGTTGCACCTCAGACTGTCCAGGAGCTCAGTGACACCCAGGTCCAGATCTGGGAGTAGATCCCCCAGGACACCATCCATTATCTCATCAGGAGCATGTTGTAAAGTGGCCTAGCCTGCTGCTGCTTTTCTTCAATTTGATTTTTGGGGGTGTCTTTGAATTCAGCCCTTTGTAGGTTGATCATTACATTTCCATTACATTTTGGGGCACTTTATCACTCCTAACACATTACCAAGTCCCCATCAATGTGAATATCCACTGTGTTTTTTTTCTCATTAAAAGCTGTCGTGTTTTCAAAGTTTTCCTGCAATTTTTGGAGCAGTGTATCTACCGTACTACTATATATGCCATTATATGATGGGGCCAAAATCATTTATGTAAATTCATGACCTTTTGCAGAGAATCCAAACATTTAATTAAAATCTGCCACACACTTAATAACTCCGTTATTCTCATGTTCCATGTGCTACGGCATACCTGTAGAAAATAAAGGCGATCGTGGCCACTACGACCACAGTAACAGCCAACACAATCATAATGATGTCGCGAATCGCAGGGCCTGCAGTAATAAAGACAAAAAAGAGGCACCATTTCAGTTCCAAGCCGATGCTTCTGACACACAGAGGACAAAAGATAAACATGGGCCGAGCGTTCAAGTGCCATAATATTTAAGCTTATCTCAGATAGGGCTGTGAGGAGGTCATCTACAGGAAACAAAAGAAGAACTGAGCCATAAAACCACTTCATATAAAACATGCAAAAGTTGATGTACGTGGAGCAGTTTGTGGTTGCTATAACTTTTCCTCCTGTTCATACCCACCATTAATGCTTATTAAATGAAAACAGGGACACAAACAGAGAGGTGCTTAAACCACAGCTGAAGCCTTACATATAATTCACCGGAACCTGGATTAGTGCAAGTCTTTGAAAACGACCTGACTGAGTGGATGCAAACTGATCAGGCCTTGTTGTGGAGATCTAAATCATTATGGTGGACATGCCTTCTTTCTAGAGGACAAAAAAGGAAGTTCTCTTAACATAAATCTTTAAAATATTAAGGTTAAGACATATTTTGAGGTTGTGCCCACTGAACTCAATGATATAGCTAAACATGCGTATGTGTGTGTGTGTGTGTGTGTCTTTCGATGTACCGCTGTCTGGCATGTTATTGGGAAGTCTTTTCCCCCAGATGAACTTAGGAGCCTCCTCCACCACTGTGGTTTTATTGCGCTCCGTGTCAAATGTGAATAAAATATCGTACTGGGTGTGACACAAGAGGGGAGGAAAAAAACAAAAAGACACATTTTAGCATCAAACCAGAAGCAAGAGATGCAGCACAGTAAGGTTTTATTTTGAATCTTTTCTTCGTGTATTCACTGCTAAATGCCAAAAAAGAAAACAGGAGAAAAAGATACCTTGTTGTCAGTAGTGGTGTAGATGATTGAGAAAGCCACGTCTCTGTCCCCGTACTCGTCCAGCGTATAATTCCCAGCAATCCCTGAGCAGAATCACACAAACGTTTTTAAACTTCTGTTCGCTTCATTTCACCGTGTGTGTCAGCTGTAAACCTTTAATGCGTCTCTCAGTCAAACTTGCACTCACAACCGGCTGCTTACAGCTGCGGGCTGTTATACCAACACTCTTTGTGTCAATGAAAACACAAAGAAGTGATAGCAGTTGACAGCCTCCATCTGTTCGACCTCACAGTAGCCATGTCTGCTCTGAGATCAGCTCATTAGTGTTTTGGTGGATGGTGTTTTCCCACTTTTCACGAGCTAATTTTAGCATTTATTACTGTTTTGCTCAGTATGCTTAACTGCAACTATCTGCAGCTGCCAAAAAAGTATTAAATGCTAACTTGTGTAAATTCTTGTGTATTTGCTAATACACATACTTGCAGCTTGTATGCAAGCACTTCCCCCTCCTCGCTGTTATCTTCCACCTGCCTTACCAGTAAATTTGGTGTTTCTGAAGTAATTTACATTCACATATTCCGTCCTGTGAAGCTGAGACTGATTTTGTTTAGAAATTGTTCTCATCACTTGGCCAATAAAGAGCACTGCGTCATGGTACGCGGCCATGTAGTCGTTCATCTGCAGAGGAACAGACAGAGACAGATGGTTGGAACTACTTTCTCAGTACAGCCCTTAGATTTGAGTGAAGGAGCTCTAAGATGCATCCTTCACTACACAGGTGATGAATTATTTTATATATTTTTTACTCAGTGAAGACGTTATTTAATGATATTTCATTGAACATTTATTATTAACTCTTCCGAGGTCCATTTCTGGTTGGCATGGTCCTGTGTTGTTAATCCCTTATTTTCCCTTAAAACCCTACAAGTTGATTATTCAGAGTGAGCGGAACAAAAACAGCCAATCAGAGCTAACCTTTTTTGTATTGCTACAGAAGCACTGCAAAGAGAGAAGTTGTGTATTTCTGGTTTGCTCACCGTGTTGTTGTCTTTAAGGTCTGGGTTGATTCTGTAGCTTCGGGTGTTCGGCATGGTGAGCACCAACACGTTCTTCATTTCTGGCAGCGACGATGTGTTGGTGTAGTATACATCACTGTGTAGAGGAATCAGCAGAGGTCTGATGAAAAATTCTACATGTGCAAAAATTTCCTGAAGTACTGATTGTGAATCACTGCTGTGGGGTTAGAGAAAAAGAAAACAAGTGGAATAAATAGGAACAGAAGTGAAATGATTCAACAGCACTAACCTGTAAAGATCAATGAGGATGAAGGCGATATCACTGCTGTCCGCAGCCTTAAAGCCGTTTTTAATTTCCACTAGGTCCATTGGTGATCCACACATGATGAACACTGCAGCGGAGAAGTATTTGTAACAGAACAGTCTTTCAGTTATTTTTTTTCTTCTGTTTTTTTGCCTAGTTGGCCTTGGGACTCAAATACAAACTTGATTTCCATTTAAATTACTTCTTCAACCTTGAAACCAAAGTTAATACCAAAACCTAAAGCCATCAAGCATAGCCTGATACTGTTGATGTTTTTTTAATTCACCCTTCATAATGTGGCGTAAAAATATGCAGCAGGAAGTTCAAAGAAAAGCTATTATGGCCCTCGAGCTAGCTCTCCTTCTGAAACAGAAAATTCCGAGTCTCCCTCGTGATGACAGCGTTAACAAACTCAATAGTTGAATTAAATGTGCTTTGTGGGCCCTGGGCTCTCTTAGGAAAATAGAATCCAAACTGTCTGTGTGTGTTGTCCCAGCAAACTGAAGCCATTGTTATGTCTCGCTGTGAAAACAGAGAGGTTTTCAATCTTGTTTGAGAAAAATACATCAAATTCTTACAGTTGGATGTCCTGTTGCGTAATGTAAGCACGCTGTGCAGTTCTGTGGGACTGCGTAGAGACGTTATTGAAATATTTAAGGCAAGCGGTTCCACCGTCGCTTCAATTGCACTTACATACCTGAAGATGAAAATGAATATAATGCATAATTTAAATTAAAAACATTTTATTACATTTAAAAATGTAACTAGAATATAATTAAAAATATAATTTATTAGATTTTGTAATAGCTCACAACAGATGAGTCTCTCCTTAAAGATGGGTTACTCACCAAACGCATTCCTCTGTGGGGTTCGTTGTTTTATAAGTATACGCTGCCTTCCATGAAGGTTTGAGCTCATTGTTTTCTTGCCAGAACTGGTTGACAAAGTCAACGATCTTGCGTGCAGGTGGCAGGAGTCGCTGCAAGTTGAAGGTGTAGTCGCACGAGCGACCAAAGCTTCCCGCTGAGAGAATGGGTCTACTGAGACTCATGCCGGCTTCCTTACTGGAAGAAGAGAATAAAAAAGAGTGGGAGACAATGGTATCGACTAATTATGATAAACGGGTGAACGATAAGCATAGTGCAACACAGGCAAAACCTGTTTGAAAATCTGAAGTGTCTTTTTCAAGCTTATTGGCAGAATCATGTCCTTGAAAAATTCAGAACTTACTCAACTATTGGGAAAGTAGCATAGGTGCACGTGGGTCCAAGCACAGCACATCCCAGATTTCCTGATTCCTGCAAAAATAAAAACATATACAGCGAATAATTCACAGATTTTTATGTAAATTTTGCCTGATCTTTAAACTCCTGAGACCCAAACTCTTGTTTTCTTCCAGGTTCTTGGAAATCGACCTGTTTTCCTTGCACTAGAAGTGGTTTGTGGAAAAATGTTCTCACTGTGGGACAGCAGGTTTATTTTACTATATAACATAATAAAGTCATCAGGGTGTAACAAAGTCTAAAATATTTTTATTACAACACCTGCTCAGATAAAATCGCAAATGATGCAACATATCCAAAAGCCTTGTAACTTGAACATTTTACATGCTCCATACTCCAAACTTGAAGCATGCACCAAGGCAAAAAACAACCAAACAAGCAAACATCTGTTTACTACACTACTCAGACAAACTCAATACGCCATAGAACTGTGCAAAATCTCAGGTGTGGTGCATAATAAGACATTACTTGGAATTTATATAGGACCTTATAGAATCATGTGAAAGACTTTGTGTTAAACTGAGACCCCAGCCCTGCTTGTACAAGTGCCTTCAGCAGGAATACCTTGAAGTTTTCTGTATGATTTTGTCATCATTTTATCTCTAAAATCATTCTTATGCAATTTTGCCCCCATCTTCTTTAGAACGTTGCTCACACAGAATTTCAGGCAGGCTGAACTTTGGGCCTTTGCAGCACTTTGATCCTTTCATTTCACAGCAATTATGTTGTAGATTTGCTGCTGTGCTTTGATTATTGTTGCATGAACCATTTTTAACCTGTTGGATAGATGGCCTCACATCTTAAAAGGAATTCATGGTCAACTCAGTGACTGCAACGATCCCAGATCCTGTGGATGCAAAACAAGCCCCAAACAGAACCCCTCCACCACGGTGTTTGACAGTTAGTATGAGGGCATTGTGCTAATAAGGTGTGTTTGGTTGTAGCTCTTGGGTTTTTTGCAGTTTCTCTGAGCATTGCACGGTCTGGGCTTTGGGTGAATTTGCTGGAACATCTACTCCTGGCATTGTCTTAATCCTGGCATTACCTGAATGCTCCAGACCAGCAAACTGTTAAAACCTCTGCTTTTATAGAGGTGTTCGCACTTACTGATGATAAGTTAATCAAGTGCATTTGAATCAAACATCATCCTCTTTTCTACTTGTGTCTTGTTCATGGCTGTGGAGTGTTTTTCAGAGATTTATCTCATTAAATTCTATAATTTGCAAATATTTCTAAAGTAAAATACATGCTTTTTTCCTAAGCACGAGGTGGAAACACCCAGACCTTCTTCTATTAGCTATCCAACTGCTACTCTGCAACCTGCTCTTCTCAAAGCCAGTTGAGAGAATTTCTTCCATATGTCAAATCTCCTCCTAGTTGGACATTAAAAACCTCACCTAGGAGGCATTCAAGAGGGGTCCATGTCAGATGCTCTCAATGTGCCTGTATGTTTGGGTTTCACCCAGTGGACAAGAGGATTGCTCTCAAGTCGGGGGACGGGTCCTGACCGTCATTTGCGCTTATGCACCGAACGCATAAGCGGGGGGAAGAAGATGGCCCAGCTGCGGACTCCAGCTGGGAGTTTTCATTGTTCACATTCTTATGTTGCATGCTAATAACAATTAAACTTGGAGGGCTGAAGGCTGGGAAATGGCCTGCAAAGGGTATTCATAAGTGCACTCGGTACTGATATTTGATTTTGTAATCCCATCATCACATCTGGACCAGATGTCTTGGCTAGGTAGAGAGTTGAGCTGTCAAGTAACTACCAAGTGGTACAGTAAAGGTACGCTGGGAGCATCGGGCAGAGGCCCCTAGTCCAGGAGATCTTCAGCTCAACCTCTGGAAAAGCTTAGAAAAGATTTTTAGGGTGAGGGTGACACATATTCTGAACCTCCTTAGCTGAGGCAGTTGCAAGGGGCTGTGGCCTTAAGGTGTCCCGTGCCTGCCATGGGGGCAAACTGGAGCAGGAGTCGACTCAAGCTTGGCTGTCATGTGGGACTTCGGCAGTAGACAGCAAATACCAGCAGGCCAAGCAAGGCATGTCTTTGACTGTAGTTGAAGGAAAACTGGGGTGTTCAGAAAGGAAGTGAAATAATAGTTTTCGTTGGCTTAGCAGTGATTCTGTTAAGTTTTTACAGAGATTTACTGAGACTGGCATAGTCTTATTTTGATTTGTGGTCTTGCACAAAAAAGGTGTCTATGGCATTAATGAGGAGAGCAGGTCTGCGAACTAAAAGGTGCATAAACCCATAAATGAATGTCCTGTGGAAGCAAGATCTCAGGGTTACACAAGCTCATGTATATGTGCGTAACCCACATAAAAAGAGCTGCATCTATAACTAAGCCGAAATTTTAAATTCCAATTGGGAGCGTGTCCGTGAAGGCATCGTGCGTCATGACGCACGCCATGCCGCGAGGCTGCACATGCCTGTTGTGACCAATCACATTCGCGAGGCACCGATATATGCCTTCCGGGTTGTCGCTTCGAAACGACGCGGGGGAGAGGCGTTAGCGGATGGAAGCAACAGGTACGTGGGGCGAGCGCTTTTCGCTGTTTACTATCTTGACTTGTTTTGAATTAATTGTGGATTGCGTTCAACAGTATTTTGATACCGCCGTGGGTAGATGCGTGGGGCTCGTATGTGACATCGCACGTAGTGAATGGTGAGTGAGTCTGAATGTTTGTTTGTATTTGTAACCTGTATCAGTATGCCAGTGCTATTAGCTGATGGGATGGCTGAGGCTTACTGTATTACTACTGCTCTCACTTTATGTGGCTGTAGTTTTGTTATTTGAGATTGTCATTTGTTTTAATTCATTACAATGGTTGGATATGTATTTGTTGTATTTTCTCATGGATTTTATGTGTACACTGGAACTAAAGCTAGCTTGGGAAGTTTAGATGAATTTTGCTAATAGTGGTTTTGTGATTATAGTGCAGGCTAGTGGTGCCCTGGAGAGACCACAGCGACACCACTACTTTGGATGGCGAGCTAGGCCCAACGAGCCAGAACCCCAGCTACAACTTCCTGCGGTCTGGTAGGAGGCTGCTGCGGCCTACACTCTCCCCTCTTGGTTTAGTCCCCTAAATCTCACTTCTGAGATTTCAGCTTTGGAATCTTAGTGCTGATCATCCTACTTCAAATTTCAACCTGTCTAGACTGTCATACGCGTTGGACTTATATCACTCATGAAATAAACTTTATGGACATTGTTGCCAGAGGTTGGACGAGGTTCCTGCACTGCCGTGCAGCGGATATTTTACAAGCTTGAATTGTTTTATTTTTTCCTTGTCTGCAGATTTTGTAAATATTGGTGTTTGGTAGTTGCACTTTGTTTTCACTATAAATAACATTTGTAATCACAATATCTGTGGTTGTACGTTTATTGTACTTCACTCACCTCCTAGAGCCGAATCTGATATCTTCTGAATTAGCCCAACTATTCATAACCAACTTAAATTATTTTAGCTTATGTACTTGCTACATAAGACAAATTAGTGGCGAACCAGCCAGGAGGTTGTGTCAAGTATAATATTGTTGTGTACATTCAGTCTCACTATCTCACCATATTATTATGAACATGGACTTGTTGGAGTCATTAGGTGTTAAAATACCAAACGCGGTGTTGGTCAGTGGCGTCCCCGCATATGAGGTTGAGGAGGTTGAAGATTTTCTTCTCCAGTATGGTGCTATTGAACGCTCTGTGCCAATAAACTCACCCGGTTCTGAGTTTAATAATATGCTCGTTGTTGAGTTTAAAACGGGGTCTGCTTTTGATTTATTGGGTCCGATTCTGCCGTATACATTTAAGCCCTTAAATAATGAATATTATATAAAAAGCTTGTCTAAAATCTATGCGGCTACTGTCGGGTGCACAAAGACTAAGACTTATTTAGCTGACTTAAAACAAGTAGCAAAACTGTCTGGTCAGGATTTTGCTGAAGTTCTCCAAGAACTAATGACCCAAATAAATGGAGCTGTTTCAGAACTGCGCCCAGGAAAACCAGAAGGGCTCAAGCAGGAATGCACTGCCGCATCTGAACACAAAATGGCTGCCACTCCGGATCGACAAACCCACAACATGGCTAGCCCTGTCACTTCTTCAGCTGCCCTACATCCTACAACAACAGAAGGACATTCTATCAGTATGTCTGCGGCTGAGTTGAATCCACCTGAAGTACAGAGGTATGTTGTGGAGCATATAGTAAAGAGCGAAGATGTAAACATACGCTCATCCCATAAGCTGCGCATGTTTTCTGGGAGACTACCACACCCACAGCATGAGGTGGACTATGATACATGGCGCTCTGGAGTGGATCTCATCTTAAAGGATCCAGCCATTTCAGAACTGCGAAGATCCAGACACATCCTTGATAGTCTTTTACCACCTGCAGCGGACATAATCAAGCACCTTAACCCCGACCTACCAGCAGAGACTTATATTCAACATCTTGATTCTGCTTATGGAATTGTACAGGACGGGGAAGAACTTTATGCGAAGTTCATGGACACGCTGCAGAACTCGGGTGAGAAGCCATCCGGCTACTTACAGCGACTTCAGGTGGCCCTGAGTTTAGCTGTTAAGCGGGGAGGGGTCAAGCAGGGTGAAGTGAACAGGCACCTGCTCAGCCAATTCTGTAGGGGATGTTGGGATAGTAACCTTATCTCTGAGCTCCAGCTGAAGCAGAGAAAATCCAACCCACCCTCTTTTGCAGAACTGTTACTCCTATTAAGAACTGAAGAAGACAGAGAAGCTAGCAAAACTCTGAGGATGAAGCAACATTTGGGAACACCAAGACACAGAGTTGCAGCTCAAGCTCAGTTCGCAGTAGAAGAAGAAAAGGGGGTCTGTGCTGCGTTGTCCACTCTCACCCAGCAGATGGCGGAGATACAAAAGCAACTTGCCGCCTTAACTGCCTCCCAGTCTCACCAGTCCTGTACTCTTGTTCCAAAGCAGCACCCGAAGCAAAGAACGGATATACAGAGGAATATATCATCTAACCCCAAGCCTGGGTTCTGTTTCAGGTGTGGGGAAGATGGACACATTAGACCACAGTGTGAGAACAGACCCAATCCTGCATTGGTCAATACAAAACGCAAACAGTTCAGTGAAAGGAAACCAAAATGGCAGAAGCGGAATTCATCAACTGGACATTTAAACTAGATACAGTTTCTGTAATGGGACGTACAGGAACTGTGCAGGACCCACATTGTCCCGCAAAGGAGGAAAGGAACAAGGAGGAAATTGTTCACTGTGTAGACCTACACACTTGTCCGAAGGCAACTACAATGTTACCTCATGGGTTAGTTGGGTCAAGATGCACAACAGAGGTGACCCTAGCAGGCCATCCACAGAAATGCCTGCTTGATACAGGATCACAGGTTACTACAATACCTGTATCCTTTTACAACAATCATCTTCATGACCAACAAATTCAACCACTCCATGATCTTCTCCAGGTGGAAGGTGCTGCGGGTCAAACCATTCCATATCTTGGATACATTCAGGTTTCCGTCAAGTTCCCCAGAGATTTTGTTGGTGAAGAATATGAAGTAACAACATTGGCTCTAGTTGTTCCGGACGTACACCCTGACGTCCCCGCTACTGTGCTAATTGGGATGAACACCCTGGAACCCCTGTATGAACAGCATCTTAACCAGCATCCGAGCTATCAGCCTAGCACTCATGGGTACAGAGCGGTGTTGAAAACACTACAGCTGTCACACAAGCAGAAGGAGAATGGCAGCATTGGGAATGTGAGGCTACTAAGCAAAGCTCCAGTGCGTGTTCCGGCCGGCCGCACTATTGTCATCCAGGGCTCTGCCAAAGTTTCCACCCCGTTGTTTAGCCAGAGTGTTCTCCTACAGCATCCTGCTTCCACCTTACCTGGGGGGTTGTGTGTCAGCAGTTGTCTCATCAACTTCCCAGCTCTTTCTCCATACAAGGTTCCTGTGGTTATTACAAATGAGTCGGAGCAAGATACCTTCATTCCACCTCACAGTGTCATTGCGGATTTGGAAACCTACCACTGCATCTTGTCTGAACATCGCGTGACTCATCTTCCAGTCAGGAACACTACCACCAGCCTGAACTTTGATTTTGGTGATTCTCCACTGTCACCTGAATGGAGGACGCGAGTCATAGGCAAGCTGAATGACATCTCGGAGGTCTTTTCACATCATGACTTGGATTTTGGATGTACATCAGCTGTCAAACATCATATTCCACTCCATGACAATACACCATTCAAGCAACGTGCCCGGCCAATCCATCCGCAAGATTTCGAAGCTGTCCGCCGTCACCTGCGTGAGCTCCTGGAAGCCGGCATTATAAGGGAATCATCGTCTCCTTTTGCTTCGCCTATCGTGGTGGTCAGGAAGAAGAACGGTGAGGTCCGGCTGTGCATAGACTACCGGAAACTAAACCTTCAAACCATCAAGGATGCATACCCCTTACCTAATTTAGAGGAATCCTTTTCAGCACTCACTGGTTCTAAGTGGTTTTCAGTGCTCGACCTGAAGTCCGGTTACTACCAGATCCAGATGGAGGAGGAAGACAAGGCAAAGACTGCTTTTGTGACTCCTCTTGGGTTCTGGGAGTTTAACCAAATGCCTCAAGGTGTTACCAACGCCCCAAGCACCTTTCAGCGCTTGATGGAGCGATGCATGGGGGACCTTCACCTAAAGGAAGTGCTCGTTTTCCTGGATGATTTAATCATCTATTCGGACACTCTTGAGGAACACGAACGAAGGCTGCTGAGAGTCCTGAACCGGTTGAAGGAATATGGGCTGAAACTGGCACCGGAGAAATGTTGATTCTTCCAAAAGTCTGTAAAGTACTTGGGTCATATTGTCTCTGAGGAAGGAGTTCAAACAGATCCTGAGAAGATAGAGACCATCAAGACATGGCCGGTTCCCCAGACTCTGAAACAATTGAGATCTTTTCTGGGTTTCGCTGGTTATTACCGCCGGTTTATAAAAGACTATTCCGTCATTGCCAAACCTCTCAATGACCTGACTCGTGGATATTCTCCAGTTCAAAGATCAAAGACTCTGAAAGCTCACAAGATACCCACCTACAGGCCAAACCAACCCTTCGGGGAGAGGTGGGATACCAAATGTCAAGTTGCATTTGAAACCTTGATTGAGAAGCTTACAACTGCTCCGGTTCTTGGGTTTGCAGACCCGTCTCGTTCATACATTCTGCACACCGATGCGAGTGTGACCGGACTTGGAGCAGTGTTGTATCAAGAGCAAGAGGAGAAACTCCGGGTCAAAGCTTATGCTAGCCGCGGATTGTCGCAGAGTGAGAGCCGTTATGCAGCCCACAAGCTGGAATTCCTCGCCCTTAAGTGGAGTGTGACCGAGAAATTCCAAGATTACCTGTACGGGGCAGATTTTACAGTGGTGACGGACAGTAATCCACTGACCTACGTTTTGACAACAGCGAAACTGGACGCTACTGGACACCGTTGGTTGGCTGCATTGTCAACGTACTCCTTTAAACTTCTGTACAGAGCTGGCAAACAGAATTGTGACGCTGATGCGCTTTCGCGGCGACCGTACTCCTGCTCCAGTGATGAAGTTTCTAATGACCATGAACTCATTCGTCAGTTCATTTCTCAACACACAGCTGATTCTGATGTCCTTCCAGAAGAGACTGTGAGAGCAATCTGCCAAAGTCATTTGGTCAGAGCCACACGGCCGGGTGACTGCAGTGAGGTTGGCTTCACACTTGTCGAGTCTTTGTCAGTTCAAATGGATACCATCCCTGACAGTTACTGTTCCGAGGACTGTCATCGGCTGCCTGTCGTTCCTACTCTTAACATCAAAGAGAAACAACACTCAGATCCCTGCATTCGAGAGCTTATTCACCAGCTTGAGACGGGGAACAGGGTTCCACCAACAGCTAGAGCTGAGCTCCCTGAACTTCCGTTCCTGCTCAGAGAATGGTCCAGGTTGGAGCTGGTGGATGGAGTCCTGTACAGGAGGAGACGGGACAATGGAGACCTTTCATACCAGCTTGTCCTTCCAGAGGAGTTGCGGCCATCAGTCCTGAAAAGCCTCCATGAGGATATGGGCCATATGGGGATTGAACGTACACTTGACCTTGTCCGTACGAGATTCTACTGGCCTAAAATGGCAAAGGATGTTGAGCAGAAGATTAAGACTTGTGGCCGCTGTGTGCGCCGAAAAGCCCTGCCGGAAAAAGCTGCTCCACTTGTCAGCATAAAAACATCTCGACCCCTTGAGCTTTTGTGTATGGATTTTCTTGCTCTTGAGCCTGACACTAGTGGCACTCGTGATATCTTAGTCCTGACTGACCATTTCACTAAATTCGCTGTTGCCATTCCAACACCCAATCAAAAGGCAAGAACTGTGCGAAGTGTTTATGGGAGAATTATATCATTTATTATGGCATTCCTGAGCGAATTCATACCGACCAAGGGCAAGATTTTGAGTCAAGACTAGTAAAAGAATTGTGTGAGTTTGCAGGCATTCAGAAGAGCCGTACAACCCCTTACCATCCGAGGGAAATCCAGTGGAGCGATTTAACAGGACGTTGCTGGCAATGTTGGGGACCTTGGAGACAAAACAAAAAACAAGGTGGAAAGAGCATGTGAAGCCGCTGGTTCACGCCTATAATTGTACCAGGAACGAGGTTACAGGGTTTACTCCTTACGAACTCATGTTCGGTAGAACACCTCGTCTACCTGTGGACCTGGCGTTCAATCTGCCACTGCGGGAATCCCAGCAAAAGAGTCACTCACAGTACATTAAGTCACTCAAATCGAGATTGGAGGAAAGTTTCAGTATTGCCTCCAGTAACGCTACAAAGGCTGCCGACCGAAATAAGAAACGCTTTGACAATCGTGTGATACCATCAGCATTGGAACCAGGTGATCGTGTGCTTGTAAGGAATGTCCGCCTTCGAGGGAAGCATAAACTTTCAGATAAATGGGAGGAAGAAGTTTATGTGGTTGTCCATCGGGCTGGGGACCTCCCGGTCTACAAGGTAAAACCTGAGAACAGCGATGGACCTATGCGGACCCTTCACCGCGACCTCCTCCTTCCATGCGGCTTCCTCACGGGCAGTGAGGTTAACTTGCAATCACCAGAGCAATCGCTTCCTCACAGGCCAAGAACTCGGCAGCAGAACTCGGATTTAAATTCCTTCACAGAACCCCTGGTTGAGGATGAGGATACAGGAAGCTTGGTTTCATTATATGTTAATCCTCCAACGTTGCACTTCACTGTGGAAAAACAGAATCATTTTCCAGATTCATCTGACGGTGGGAGCCTAGGACCACTGATTTTGGATCCTTCAGTTGAAGTGGAAGTGCAAGGGGAACCAGCCTCTGTGTCCAGTGTTCTTCCTCCAGCAGGGGAGTCTGGTGGTGAGCAATCTGACTCTGATGTGGAAGACATCCTACTTGAACTTGGTGAAAGTCACCCTGAAAACAGAAATGGCTTACCTGAAAACTTACTTGGAAATGGAGACATACTTGTCGACATTCCTGTCGTTGCTGTTGAAGATTCTCCTGCAGAGTCTAGTGTTATTGAGCAGGACACTGACATAGGTGACGGGCTAAGACGTTCACAACGACAAAGAGCACCACCTGACCGACTTCACTATTTCACTCGTGGCAATCCTCTGATTTCCGTTGTTCAAACGATGTTGCATAGTCTTTCCGATACATTGGGCCATAATGCTAGCCGTCCTTCGTCTGTTCACGTTGTCTAGCGTTTAACATGCGACGGGACGTGCATGGGTTAAGGCGGGGAGGATGTAACCCACATAAAAAGAACTGCGTCTATAACTAAGCCGAAATTTTAAATTCCAATTGGGAGCGTGCCCGTGAAGGCATCGTGCGTCATGACGCACGCCACGCCGCGAGGCTGCACATGCCTGTTGTGACCAATCACATTCGTGAGGCACCGATATATGCCTTCCGGGTTGTCGCTTCGAAACGACGCGGGGGAGAGGCGTTAGCGGATGGAAGCAACAGGTACGTGGGCGAGCGCTTTTCGCTGTTTACTATCTTGACTTGTTTTGAATTAATTGTGGATTGCGTTCAACAGTATTTTGATACCGCCGTGGGTAGATGCGTGGGGCTCGTATGTGACATCGCACGTAGTGAATGGTGAGTGAGTCTGAATGTTTGTTTGTTTGTGTAACCTGTATCAGTATGCCAGTGCTATTAGCTGATGGGATGGCTGAGGCTTACTGTATTACTACTGCTCTCACTTTATGTGGCTGTAGTTTTGTTATTTGAGATTGTCATTTATTTTAATTCATTATAATGGTTGGATATGTATTTGTTGTATTTTCTCATGGATTTTATGTGTACACTGGAACTAAAGCTAGCTTGGGAAGTTTAGATGAATTTTGCTAATAGTGGTTTTGTGATTATAGTGCAGGCTAGTGGTGCCCTGGAGAGACCACAGCGACACCACTACTTTGGATGGCGAGCTAGGCCCAACGAGCCAGAACCCCAGCTACAACTTCCTGCGGTCTGGTAGGAGGCTGCTGCGGCCTACACTCTCCCTCTTGGTTTAGTCCCCTAAATCTCACTTCTGAGATTTCAGCTTTGGAATCTTAGTGCTGATCATCCTACTTCAAATTTCAACCTGTCTAGACTGTCATACGCGTTGGACTTATATCACTCATGAAATAAACTTTATGGACATTGTTGCCAGAGGTTGGACGAGGTTCCTGCACTGCCGTGCAGCGGATATTTTACGAGCTTGAATTGTTTTATTTTTCCTTGTCTGCAGATTTTGTAAATATTGGTGTTTGGTAGTTGCACTTTGTTTTCACTATAAATAACAATTGTAATCACAATATCTGTGGTTGTACGTTTATTGTACTTCACTCACCTCCTAGAGCCGAATCTGATATCTTCTGAATTAGCCCAACTATTCATAACCAACTTAAATTATTTTAGCTTATGTACTTGCTATATGTGCATCCAACATGCTAATATTCTTTCTATTTTTTAATATAAAACTGTAGCTACTTACCGTCAGGTTGTTTAGCTCTGCAACTGCTTCACATGAACTGCTCCGGCAGCCTCGGTACCAGTATAAGGTTGTGTCAAACCCACTGAAATTCGCAGTTAGGTTAAAAGTCACAGCTGGATCTTGGGTGTGTGGAAAGAAAGAAAGTTCCAGATGTTAGTTTTGACTTTCTCTCCATTTTGAACTGCAGTGTGTATGTGGATATTAGATTTGTTTTAAAGAGAAATTCTACCATATATGTAAAATCTATTAATTTGGGGAAGTTTACACTCCACAACAGTAAAAGACACAGAACCATGTAAGCTTAAATAGCTAGCTACAGCTGAAAAATAAAACACCAACAAATTTCAGCTGGCAAACAAGACAACTACTTTTGATTACCTGTGTCATAAACTGGGACATTCTGTTTAAGTTTTATTGATAATGCTTAGAAATAAACCCTACAGGGCTTTCCTAACAGCCACTTAATAAAAACTTGGCTAGATAAAAAATTCCTGCTAGCCAAAAAAAACCTTTTATGTTTAATTATCTTAAATAATAGGTGTCAATACTTTTTGCATAATGGCATCATTGCAGACTGTGGGTGAGTCAAAAATAACACCAAACTGTATGTTGTCATGTTGACCAAAAGTCAGGCTAAACTAGTATAAGATAGCTCCTAGCTTAGTAGAACAAGCGTTTTATGCTAGTAAGCTAATAAGCATTGCAGGTAGCTTCCTTGTAATTAATAGGATAACGATCTTTAATCTGCTAGTTTATGAAACTAACTACAGAATATCTGTTAACAGTAGCAGCTTTACTTTTCTTGTATACTTTTTTAGTCTTTAATAGTGAAATCCCTGAATAATTCCTAAAACAGCTTTAAAATTGTTACTTTTGGGAAAAGCAACATGAAAATCTGAAAATAGGAACAGTATGCAAAGCAGTAAATATAAATGAACAATAATAGTCAGTGACATATGTGTTAAATTATCAATATGTATAAACATGAGTGTACCAATATACATACTGTATATAGAGAGTGCTGTTGCGAGAGATCAAAAGGTCTGATTTTGTGCGGATTTGTCATGTGGTTTGTTTGTTTGTTTTCTGTTTTAGTTTTTAATTTCATTACCCTGGGCAGCATTAATGGCTGAATCTTTCTCTATGGCCTTCAGTATTTCTCCTTCCACATACTGGAGGCTCCAGGGAGAGTCCTCATCATCCAACAGTATAACGTTGATTGTAATCCCACTCCCACATTGTCCAACACCAGGACACGATGCCACAAGAATTCCAAAGATGAACAAACACAGTAACCAGCTTCCCGAGCCCATTCTCAGCTCCGAGGTGAGTGCTTCTGTTTTTTAAAGAGAGTCCATGGTATCCACCGATCCTGAATCCAGTTCAGTAAAGTCACCAAAACACTCGGAAAACTCTTAACTTATGATCGCCTTGATTAAAGCTTTGCCTGATCCACCAAGGCTTTGAAGAAAAAATAAATCCTGTGCGAAAGTCTGCTCCTCTTTCAACTTTCCTCTAAGCGCTACTCACCTGTTCTTTCTATGTCACTATGTTAATATACAACCTTTAAAGACACAGACGCAGGCCATATAACCTTGTCAGCGCTGTGTCATGGCCTGCATAAATTAAAGCTTAAAGCAAACACGCAGAGCATGGCTTGGTTGTAAGTTTGTTGATAGTCTTACACTCACAAATTTAATTTAATGGAGAATCGTACCATGAAATTGTTTTGTGCAGAAATACAGTTCAATTGGCAAAAAGGAAAACGGCCCAGAAAAAAAAAGATTAATCCTTGAGATATCTTAATTTAAGCAAAGAATAAGGCGTCAATGGCCACATGGGACACTTTTATCAGTAAAGTTAAAGCTATAAAACTTATAAAAATGTAGTCCAATATTTATTCTTCCTTCATCTTCTAAAGCTCTCCAGTTGAGCCAGATTGGAGTCTTTGCCAGCCCAGTTCTGCCCTTGGCTTTATATTTGACAGACTTGTTTTGAAGGGTTTTTTCTTAATCGAGGTAATATTTCTGTAATCGTCCACTTTAGCAGTCTTCTGTGGTCTTTTAACTCTTTTGGCATAGCTGTACTGGCCAGTGCATTCCTTCTTTTGTGTTGATTTGTCCTCTACTACAGTTTTTGCTATTTCGCTGACAGGTTTGTTGAGGTTTTCCAGAATAATGATGCCCCTTTTATCTTATTAACTTGTCATGAAATAATAAGAGAACCGACCTCGCCTGGCTTTGTAACTCCAGGTCAATGAATTGTCCGATGAATTTTTAGCCTCTGAAAATTTAGGACAATCTATATCCCTTCAGTTAATGTCAAATTTTTTAATTTTTTAAAAACCCCTTGAATTACAGCTGGAGGTCTGTACTTCACTCACAGCTTGACTATTTAAAATCCTCCTTTTGGGTAAAATAAAGTGGCAGAAAGCAAATCCTGTTCTCTGGAATATCATGATGCAGATTTGGGTTTACCTGTACATGAAAACTCATATGTTGACTGGCAAAATTCATCATTTAAATTAAGAGAAACCACCAGCATGGAGATAGACAAATAAAGACAAATTGCCAAAAATGTCAGTAAGAAATAAAGAGGATATAATGATGGAAAAATCAAAGTCACAGCTGAGAAAAAAACCTCATTTAGTTCTTACACAACAACAGGCATCCGTGTCTACGTGCCACAGACAGAGCCAAACGCACAGCTTATAGACGTCTGATTCACTCCTGTCTGGAAAGGACGGCAAAGAAAGGGGAAAAAAAGAGAAGATCAAAGGTTGTTCAGGCCATAAAACCAATACCAGATAAGATGGCTTGGCTGTGAAACCACACATACGCTGATGATTCAGTTCACCGGTGACAACTTTAAACTGAGAGTCCCCTTTCTCAGTTAGCACTACCTCTTCACCTTAATTAACATGAATGCACACACAGTCAGTTAACTCTCATGTTTAATGGTCTGAGCAGCTCCACAGTAACACGCACAGTCAAAACGATCAGCATGTGAACAAAAAACCCACCTTTTTACTTCCTTTCAACATAAACACAAAGATTAGTGCCAACCTGACCTTGGCAGTAACGTTTGATAATGGTAATAATATACTAATAAACTAATTATTAGCTATGCAATAACTATGTTATTCTTTTACACTTAGGTTTTCTCCACAACTACAAGCTGTAATCAGCAGAGGAAAATTCTGGGATCATTGACAAAGTTAATTTTATTTTTAATTTCATTGAGTTCCTGTTCCTGTTTTATATCCAGGCATCTTCACTGATTTTGTTTGGTTGTTGATTTCACAGCTCATGATTCATGTTCTGATCTGCTGTTTGGCCCTAATCACAGTAATCACATGTGGCGCTGCTGAATTCCCATAAAACCGCTCTCTGCTGGATGACATGTGGCTGCAGTGTTCAGGATTTAAAGACAGTTCAGTGTAAACATCACATTTGAACTAAACAAACATAGTACTTATGAATCAGTCCTCTTCTTTCTGCTGCTCATTTCCTGCCTACATTTTTTAAAAATCAATTTTACTGATTTTTCTTCATAACTGGAGCATCTTCTGCTTCACTCACTTTCAGCTTCATCCCAAAGTACTACTGTATATTTACTGGGCGTATTCACAGATGCTTTTCACATGTTCTACACTGCGCTAATGCTGAATATGAAAGAGCTGCTAACTTACCCAGTGTAGTATGTGTTTTAGATGTCTCACAACTTTGTTTCTCATCGTTTCTCCCTCCCTGTTGTTGTCTAACAGATGAACTTTCTTGTCATTGTTGATTAAGATGGAAGCCCAAAAGCATCGATAACTAATTACAGGTTATCTCTGTGGTGTTGCTTGATCAGTAATCAACTCTGACTTGGTGCATGTAGTCAAGTATTGCACTTGTGTTGTGTTCTTGTCCTTGCGCATTTCTATTTTATGATTTTATTATATTTTATGGAAGCATTTGTGATACTGATGAAACCCACTAATTAAATAACAGCCACCTCAGTAATGTGGAACTATGAAAACTTCAGATTAGCTTTTAATGCAATGATATAACAGTAAAATTATGTTTAGCTGGTACTAAGGGCCCCAAGCTTTGCCAAGAAAATACCACCAGCATGAACCACTGATACAAGACAGGGTGGATCTATGTTGTCATGTTGTTTATACTAAATTTTGAAAATGTCCAGAGAAGATTTTGTCTCTCTTCTGTTGTCCAGTGTCAGTGAAATTGTAGACTCAGTTTCCTATCCTTAGGTGACAGGAGCGTTCTTCAGCAGCTGTAGCCCATCTGTAGCACTCTGGCTATTCTCCTCTAGCCACATCAACAAGGTATTTTCAGCCAGAGAACTGCTGCTCATGTTTTCTCTTTTTCAGACTCTACTCTATAAATGCTGCAAATGCTGGTCGTCTGTCCAGCACGTCTGGGACAAAGAACAAGCCACATTCAGAGTCACTGAAATCACCTTCTTCCTCATTTTGCTGGGTCAGCAGCTTATATTGACCATATCTACATGCTCAAAGGCACTAATCACTGCTCCCACGTGATTGCCCAATTACATATTTGCAGTAACAAGCAGTTGAAAGTGACCGATCGTGGTAAATAGAAGTATGCTGTCTGTTTGAGATCCAATATCTCCTGTTTTTCCCATTTTTGGGGTTTGTGTGACGTTTCAACCCACTTACTTTCTTTTTTGCTCCATGACTTTCACGTTCTGGACATTTTCCAGTCTGGTTTCTGCAAATTGCACTCCACTGAAACCGCTTTACTTAAAGTGTCTAGTGACATTCTGATGGCAGCAGACACCGTTCTGGTTATTTTGGATCTCACCTCTGCTTTTGATACTGTTGATCACAGCATCATGATAAATAGGCTGAAGGACTTGTTCAGGATTACTGGTGTTGTTTTAAAATGGTTTATGTCGTATCTATCTGAGAGATCTTTTACTGTCTGTATGAATCATGTGTTGTCTGAAACATCAGTTCTGCCTTCTGGGGTACCTCAAGGATCTGTTTTAGGTCTGATTCTCTTTTTGCTGCATATACTCCCTCTAGGCCAAATTATCAGACGTTACAATAATATTTCTTATCATCTCTATGCTGATGACATTCAGTTATACTGTTCTTTCAAAACATCTCAGTTTTATAAATAATTGTGTCAGAAATCAAACCAGTTTGGATTGCATTTATATAGTGCTTTTCGAGAACCTCAAAGCGCTTTACAATTCCACTATTCATTCACACTCACATTCACACACTGGTGGAGGCTACAGGTGTAGCCACAGCTGCCCTGGGGCAGACTGACAGGAGCGAAGCTGCCATATCGCACCATAGGCCCCTTTGGCCATCACCAGTAGGCAGTAGGTGAAGTGTCTTGCCCAAGGACACAACGAACGAGCTGGGGCTCGAACCGGCAACCTTCCGATTACAAGACGAACTGCCAACTCGTAAGCCACGATCGCCCCCATGATCTAAATGATAATTTTCTCCAGTTAAATGCAGATAAAAACAGAAACTTTGATTATAGCTCCTGCTCTCAGTCCTTTAGACCCTTCATTTCAAATCAAATCAAATCAAATCACTTTTATTGTCACATCACATGTGCCGGTACATTGGTACAGCACATGTGAGTGAAATTCTTGTGTGCGAGCTTCAGTCGAGCCTCAGAAACTTAGGTGTTATATTTGACAGTCCACTGTCTCTTGAGAAACAGTCTAAACAACTTTTCCAGAACTGTTTTTATCATCTAAGAAACATTTCTAAACTCAGACTACTGGTGTCAAAGGCAGAACTTGAGATGATTATTCATGCTTTTATCTCTTCTCGTTTGGATTATTGTAATGGTCGTTTTACTTGTCTCAACAAATCAGCTCTGAATCACCTTCAGACTGTACAGAATGCCGTGGCAAGACTTATAACCGGAACAAACAAGAGTTTTGGCTTCTCTTCATTGGTTGCCAGTAAATTTTAGGGTTCATTTTAAAATTTTAGTTGTAACTTTTAGAGCTCTGCACGGTGAAGCTCCCCAGTATATCTCTGACCTGTTGAAACCTCATGCTTCATCCTAAGCACTTAGGTCGTCAGGTCAGAGGCTACTGTTGGTCCCACGTACTAGGTTCAAAACACGTGGGGATCGGGCTTTTCAGGCACTGGCACCTAGGCTGTGGAACTCTCTGCCGTTGTCTTTACACTGTCTAGACTCCATTGACTCCTTTAAAAAGCAGCTGAAGACATTTCTATACAAACAAGCTTTTAACTTTTTTTCCCACTGTTTTATGTTATTTTATTTGTATTTCTGGTTTTATTGTGAAGCACTTTGTGATTTTTATCTGTGAAATGTGATGTATAAATAATTTATACTTACTTACTTAAATCTACCACACACAGCTATGTAATGAACCAGAAGATTATTTCTGCTGGGACGCCCTCTAATGGGCAGGATATGGACATAAAACAAGCACAACACAAATGCATTAAAATATTTCCCAAGATTCACAGCAAAAGGAAAAAAAAACAAAAACCCTGTCAAAGTAAGACGGCTCTCAGAATACCTACCAACTTACTTCTCTATGAAGCAGCACCAGTAAGGGATGGAGGAACTC